AAAACTATAATGCCAAAAGAGCCTTAGACCTTGCACTTGCACACTTAGAAGAAAGAATCTAAATCTTACTTTTTTCTTGAAAGATTTTCGGTTTTCAAAACGTACAGCTTTCATAAAAATTCTGAAGAAACTATTTCATTCTAACGCATTTATCTTTTCATGCTAATTGCATCGCTCTTGTAGGGCTCAAGCTATAGTTAATTTGTGAAATCGTAACGACGGATTCTATTGCGGACTTTGCGCCCACAGGCACATAAAACGCTCATACAAGAAGGCATCACCTCAACGTTCAGCTCAGCCACTTCCAGTGCCTAAATATTATCACATATAAGCAAAAAAACCATTCGACTAGAGACGAAAACCAAGAAAATGCGATTTTCCGAAGTGGCGTGCGTGTCGCGCGCGGTCGCGCCATCGTCACGATTTTTCAAATGCCCTATAACTCTAAATCAATTTGATTTGGTATTCAGTAATTATCTAAAATCGTACTAGATGTACGTAAAATTTGTGCGGCTTATCTATTGATTACATTGAATTCCTGAAAAAAAATTTTTATCGAGGGTAGAGTAAAAAATGCAAAGAAAGGAACGTCCAACCCTGTAATAGTTAAAGATACTCCACAAACGTCCAACCCTATAATAGTTAAAGATACTCTACAACCTCATCCAGCAGAAGAGTAACTAAGACGTGCGATGGATCGTCTGCTTGCACCACTTTCCCTGGTTACTAAGCAATAAAAAATGTAGTCACCAGCAATTTTGCTCCCTTCATCTAAAAAGTTTCGATTTCCCTCAAAAGAAATGCTTTTTGCAAAGAAAAATGGATGTAATAGAAGGTAGACGGTAGGTGATGGTAGAAATTCGAATGCAGCTTGGCTACTGTTTACACTGGATAGGGACCAAAGGGAGTTTATTCAAGGGGAAAAAAACTTTGAGGTTGAGAGACCATCATTTTTGAATGCTATTGTGGATCAGTATTATTTAGATTGGTCCAAAATTTCAGTCGCAGCATTTTCAAAAAGCCTTAAAAGCTACTGCATGACGAAGGCGCAGAAGCAGTATTAGTTGAGCGGGCGCAAACGCGACGCGCGCGTATCTTCACCATTGCAAATCCTGCGCCTCATGCGCTCTGCGGCTAATAAAGCCGCGTTCGCGCCCAAAGATATTGCGCCTTCGTCATGCAGCAGCCTATAATTTCTTCTTCTCACATTGTTCCTGCTTGGGATTAATTTTATTGAAAAGGATAATTTGTGGTCTTTTCAAAACACCTTAAGTTCATTCTACTTACTTCGAGTGCAGAGATAAAAATGGAGAAGGAGATTTTACGAGGTTCAACAATTTGAGGCAAATCCGTTAAAAATCCAAAAACTGTGCAATAAAATTTAAAAAACCACTGTCATTTTTCTGATCTCCTCTCTCTAATTGAGCAAACTTTGCGCTAATGGAGCTCTTTCTTGACAAATTATGATTTATGCAAAAAAAGCCAAGAAAATCATTCTTAAAAAAACTGATTTTTGGCATTTTCTTTCAAAAATCATAACTTTTCAAAGGAGGTCGTTCAGCACAAACTTTGCTCATATAGGAAGAGGATATTAGAAAAGCGCTGCGACGAGAGCTCGCTGGAGAGCGATTAAGATGCCACAAAGTGTATGCTTTACTCTTTCCATAAGTACTTTGCCGTGCAGGATTGTTATAAAAAGAAGAAGTTGTGATTTTTTGAAAGTGCGACAAAACTTTCGGACCAACTTTACATATTTTCAAAAAATTCTTAGAGAAAAACGGTGTATAAAGTTCTGTAAAAAACCGAAAAAAAGCTCTTTCATTTCGGCCTTTTTACTAAATTCTAGCGATGTCCCTACTCTCTCAATGCTGACGTTAGTATTTTGAAAGAATTACCAACGAACTAGTATCTCATGTATCCTCAAACGAAATTGTAGCAATAATTATGAAAGAATTCACAGATGCCATCACCTAAGTCAGCATTTGCATATGTCGAGGGTTTTGACAATCAGATTCGATAAAAACTTCATCGGAATCTAAAAATGTCTTTTCCTGCTATTTCCTTCAATAATAAGTCCTCAGATGAAGACGAACTAAGACTTGCACTTGTCCGCTCACTATGCAAGTGACAAAGGAATTTTTTTCTCCCATTTTTAGCAGCCCTTCTGCACTTTTGAACAACAGAATCCATAGCAATACGAATGATGCTAACGGAACCACTAAGGGTGGCAAGCATGTCGTTACGGATATCGTAGACGGTGGTGCTTGGCAACCAATGGCACCAAATTCGCGAGAAAAAAAATCTGGTAGAGCAACAAAAAAACGCTGTAAGTGGCGATTAAGGAAAACGAGTGTGAAATGTGCGTTTTCGATATCGCAAGGTTTGGTTAGTTGAAAGCGAGAAAATTAGCAGCGAAGCGAGCGAGGGCGGAAGTAATTAGAAGCTCGTGAGTCAGACGAGTCGAACAATTTATACAGTCAGACATTTTACTGCCTAGTACAATATCAAAGTCAAAAAAAGAAGCACATTCAAAGGAAGAAAAATTAAAATGACATTAGGACTCTTTCAGATTCTAGTTGTTTGGTTGTCTCAAAAGAAAACCTTTTTTCCAAATAAATGAAACTGGATTTCTCCTGGCAAAATTAGGCACTGTTTGATAGAATAAAGCGAGCTTCACAAAACAATGACCAAAAATTCATCTAAACCGTAATCTATGTAAAGTTGGGAGCTAAAATCGAGGAGAAAACTTTTGTCACTTCAAAATCGAAATTTTGCGAAAAAAAAGTCCTGGAAGCTCCAAATTGTGCATTACAGAAGATATACAGTAGTATTCATAAATGCATCTGCTAATTTTTTTCCGCGCATGTTCAAGGAAAAATTGATTGTCAAACGGCAAAATTGATTGTAAAATGCCCCTAGGCCCTTCCACATATGTAGTTGTATACTGCAAGCCTTAATGGATATAACCTTCGGATTCTACCTTTTTATATGCCGTGGTAAGCAAGAAATATCAAGTCTAATATGAAAAACCTAAAAACTGACATTTTTGCATCTTTGGGCTATGTTTATTTCTTGGCCTTGCGCCCAGAAATATATCCAGCAAACTCATTTTTGAATACTCTATGTGTCTAGTGTATGATACCAAGATGGAGGTACGAAGGAATTTTTTCGAAGGATATCCGATTTTTAGGATAGTTAAAAAATTTTAATTTTTGGCCTCACATTTTACTTATTTTACGCCTAAGGTCTTTGGCGGACATCTTGTACGGCTTGCTTCCTCCTATCGAATGGCACTCTAAATCTGCTAGAAGAACAAAAATGATTTATTCAAAAAAGCATTATACTTTTGGGACAACCTGATCTGCAATTTGACATGCAGATACAAATATATATACTGCATGTCTGAGAACGTGGGAGGAATCTAAGTTCAGCAGGGGTGGAGTTTGAGAATTTTAGTTTAGCGGGTTTTTCCTGTCAACTGAGCGCGAATTCAACATAGCTTCTTTTCCAACCTAATACAGTAACATTGATTCCTTATCACCGATATATCCCAAGTCTGCTTAGGGTAATACCCAAAATCCCTCTTTGCCATACGGCTTTTCCGAAATGTCTTTGTTCATAGGCAAAACCCATCTTTGTTTGGGTATCCTTGCTTTCTGCACATCTGTCACCATCCAATATTAATACACAGGACTTCATTATCAAACCACGCAGAAGCATACGAAAAATTTGTCGAAAACATATAAGTCATTAATTTTGAAATTCAAATCAATAAACAATGTTTGAAGTAAATTATAGAATGTAATCTTCATTACCGAATGCAGATGACAAAGCTGTCAACAACATCCAGAAATTTCTCACAGTTTTCGTAAACTTTATCACTTTGAATAACAAAAATCGACATAAGATGTACAATGTTTCCGATCTGATAATACAATTTGCAATCCGAAGTCATGCTGAAGTCAAAAACATTGCATTATTGTTCCTGAATCAAAATAAATCTTCGAATATTCGAAAAACTGAGCTCTTCCTCAAAAAAATTCCCGTGGTCCCTCCACCCCGTGGTACCATTATTTAATCCCCGAAATCAAATTCAACGACATAGTTAAGAGCTCGAAACATGGCATGTTCTTCTTAGCGCTTCCTAAGCTTCTGAATAAATCAAGCGCAAGCGGGAAACTTCCCTGACAACGTTCGTTTTTCTACGCTTTATGAAGCTTCGCGTCTTTTTGCTCTTTCCATTTACATTCATAGGTGAGTAAGCGATTTACAAAAACATTTAGATATTATTCGAATGGATCTCAACAAGTTTTGGACTTAAGAAAAAAAAGACATTTTGAAATTTACGGAATTTTCAATATTTTATCTAGGCTACATGTTCCGTATAATACGATTCCGAAAAATTTCACAAAAAAGGCATGACATAGATTTTTCCGACTTCCAATAAAAATTTCCTGATGCTACCCAGAACTTGAGCTTAGATGCCACGCCCTACCCCCCCCCCTCTCCCTTCGAAAATATTTTCCTGTAGAATACCAGTTATTTGGAAATAAAAAAAGTCATAAATCATCTGTTTCTAAAATTCAAGAAAAAAAATATAACGTTGAAAAATTCAGTTTCACAAAATTTATTGATTTTTTACAAAGCTAAAAAAATTATTTCATTCATTTGAAAACAAGAACTAATCAAACGAGCACTAGGTCAAAAAATCCAGAAAAATTACCACATTGAAAATTGTACCAATTTAATTATAAAGAATTTGTTAATTTTTACAAGGTTCAAAAATATATTTCAGTAATCCAGAAACGTCATTGAACTTTACCTACACATTTTTAAAAAACTAAAAAAAATACCATACTAAAGATTAGCTATTTCCAGCAGCAACCGATCAAGAACGTCTTCTTCAAGAAAAACTCTTCAAAACATACAACAAAGCCATTCGTCCAACCGGTGATGTCATCCACGTTTCACTATTTCTACGCAGTTTTTCGCTACTTTATATGGAACAGCAAGAAGAGAATATGGTTTTTGCGGGGGAGTTTGAAATGGTGAGTATAGCGGAAATAACTTTTATGTGTTTGCGGTTGTAAATCATGCACGCGAAGGCTAAATTTCGCCCTTGAGATACAATATTTTTTCTTCAGAAATGGCAAGACGACTCATTAGTATGGGATCCGCAAAATTATCAGGGATTACGGTATATTCACCCATACGAGAATACGATATGGCGGCCAGAAGTCACTGTGTATAATAGGTGAGGAATTTTCTTAAACACTAAAATAGGGAAATAACAACTAAGGTTCAAAAATAAGACGCATAGGCATTAAAATGACTTAACTAGAATAAGTACGATAAATTGTAACAATATTCATGTTCTTTCTTGAATACTATGAGCATAGGTAAGTACGGTAAGTGACGCGGTAGGCATACGGTAGGCTTACGGTAGAATGTTAAACCGTGTTTTTCAATTTTACGATTTACAATACAAAGTTTCAAATCCATGTCAAAATCAAGTATAGCTGCTAAATGGATTCCAATTTTGAATGAAAATTATGAACGGAGGAAAAGCGGGTAATGCAATCAAAGAAAAAATTATTATTTGTATTTAAATTATAAGTCGCATAGGCGCCTAGGTAAGATGTATGATCACGCTATTGAATTCGCAAATGCGTCAAAATACACTGTAGGTATACGGTAAATGCATAATAGATTAGGAAGCTGCTATTTAGTTGTCGCTATATCGAATAAATGCTTCTATGCAAATGTAAAACAAGCAACTTTGTGAATGTGACGCAGGCTACTAATCAATGTATCCAACATTTTGTACGGTAGTTATACGGTAGATGCATGGTAGAAGAACAAGTTGCGTACTTTGGTTGCCGTTACAACGAATACCTGTTTCTATAATGAATTCTAAATACTCTAAAGATCAATTAACGGCATCGCTTTGTGTATCCAAGAATAGTCATGTAATTATTGATCCGCAATTACGAATTCACTTACCGTATCCCAAAACTGCAGTGTTTTAAACTGCAGTAGGTCCTAGAGTTCATCAGCTTGGAAATTTTGCAAAATATTTATGAGCGGTTCAATGGATAGATACTGCCCAGATAATGATGCTTAACGCGACTTTTTTTTGAGACCCTGCAGTTGCACTATAACCGTGAATTTGAGGGTTTTCTCTCTAATCTTGCATAGATTTAGGTTTTTCACCCTGCGGATTTGTTTACTAGAGCCATGTGCGGAAAGCACTTCCCATAAACTCGATTTTAAAAACAAGCACTTTATGTTTTGTTGAGTCTGCCAGGCACGTGTGCGGTTTTTGAACACATACTTGAAGGTGGAAGGAAAAAAAGTTGGATAAATGGTCTTCTATCGGATATCGTAATCTGATAGCACAGCGAATTGAGAAAAATTTGAGCTGTAGTTGAGAGATAGAAAAATGCCGTTGCTAGGCATCTCATCTCCTTATACGAACCGTGCTGAAAAATTTGAGCAAAGAAATTCGCTTTCTCACGGGATATAATTACTAACCAAATATTGGCCATCTATGCTAGGAAAATTTAATGAATCGAAATTCAGAAGTTGTACAGTTTGAGTTTTGGGTATGGGATGATTTTTATAGTCACTCAGTCACGAAATTTTCAAAAAACCTCCTCATCTCCTTTGCATTGAATAAAATGTGAAATTTGGAGTAAAAATAAAGCTCAAAATCTCCAATTCCTCTTCTTGAGGTGAAAAAATATTATACATATCGATAGGTATGTTATAATACCCAACTTTCTTGACTAAATTCAGCAAGGGTGAGAACAGTATGTGTGAGGTAAGCGTACGCTAGGAATACGGTAGGTGTACGGTAAAGTCAAACTGCGCACTTTTTTGGCTGCAAGGTTAATATCTCTGCTTGGGTTTGTATTTGCCCTTTTTTTTCTTCCCGCCAAGACATTAAAAATTCCAATCTTTACAACAAACATTCCCTTCAATATTTTCAAAATTTCCCCCTCCCCCCCTCCCAAAAATCAAAAACGACGTACTTGATGCTCCAATGAATAGGCGCTCTTGAATCTCGACGACGAACCGGCCATATCGCTCGGCAGACGACGGGCGAATGGCCCGCCTATTGCCGGCCTAAATCGCCGCTGCTGGAGAAAAACCCTTCAAACATTATAGAAAGCGACAGAGTGTCAAGTGCAAAGGAAGTGTACTAGTGTCTAAAAGTTGTCCATACGCCTTGCAAAAAGCTTCCGTTACGAGCTGACAGCAAGCAATGAACAAGTACATTCGTCTAGTATGCAGGTTTGCTGCAGCTAAAAGGAATTTGATTATTGCTCGTATAATAAAATTACTAAACGTATCACAAGAGCACAACCAAATTTGATAAAAAACAGTGATTTTTCCGGAAGCAGACGATTTGTAAGTGCGGCGCTGCGGTTCAGTGCCTTTGAGTCTCAGAGAGAGTGTGTAAAAAGCGGATACGCAGACAGCATAGCTCGTTGGAAAACGTTCTCTGCCGCTGCACATTATGCATAAGTGGTTCCGCTGTGCCCAAAACATGTTAAAATAATTACTGTAGCTAGAGGAAAACATGATTTTCTAATAATAATATACTTCTTTATTTTTCTTGGAAGATCTACGAATTTTTATATATTGATATAATTCCTTGGTTTTTTAGATGATGTTGTGTTGCTAGATGTGAGAAGCATAGTGATATCACCAAATTTAGACAATGCACAGGTCGCGCTCATTGCTGCGCTGCGGTAGAATGCCTTTGAGTCACAGAGAGAGCGCGCAAAAAGTGGATACGCAGACAGCAAAGCGACTTGCAAGCATTCTGTGCCGCCGCGCGTTGTACATAAGTTGATCATCTGGGTACAAATTATTTTCTTATCACTAGTTTTCATGGACAGATTTTACTTCATAATTCACGGGTAATTTTTCAGTCAAAAAATTTAAGCAGTGGCCAGCTACGTTATACCAGATAACTGCATGCGCCAATACTTTATACTTTTATAGAAAAAGTAAGAATACCCGGAAATCCCTGACAATTTTTCTTTTCTTTCGTTTTTTCTTCGATTCGAAAATATGCGAGATTTTCCAACGCAGTTCTTTCTTTTTTCTTTGAGTTCCCATGCTTCCTTTCTTCCAGATGCGAGATTTATTATTTATTTAATACCTACCCATACACTGATATTCACTTCCTCAATTTTCAATTTTTAGTGTTGGCCAAGACTCTGTGATAGAAGATGATCGACGTCTAATCACCTTGAACAACGAGGGTGTGGTTCAAACGTCAAATCTGGCAATCTATACGGTTCGATGCAAGCTAGATGTAAGTCTTTAGCTGTTCTTCATCTCCTTCCTTCCCCTCCCCTCCCCCCAACCTTCCCTTCCCCACGCAAAATACATGTATGTATGGAAAAATAACTCTTTTTAAAGCAGTGTACTTACGAGTAAAATATGGAAGCAGGTGCGAACCTAATTTCATCCTGACAACATGGTTTTTGCAAAGTTGCGCCACTAGCTAAAAATGGATTCTACTTATTGTTAGAGACTGCGTTCACTTTCACAGACAAAGAAGCTTGGTTTGATTAGTGACTGGATATTTCTGGACATGACAAGTGCCACTCGTGACATTCTTTTATTTTGTCCAAAAACAACGTTACTTTTTCCTCACTTAACCTTAGCACTTCATTTTCTCCGGTATATCAATGACTTCTCAAAACAAAGTGTAAAATTCACCCAGAAACTCAAATCTCAAATATTTTTACCCTTTGGAAGTTCTGAAGATACAAAGCAAGGCCCTGAGAACTTTTGAAGCTTATGTGACAAGCAGTGCAGCTTAGACTAATAGGAAGTGATTGCTGATACCCAGGCTCAAACTAGGAATTTCTTCTTGCGACACTATTGAGTGCTGTTTTAAACAAAATTGGCAAAATTCCAAATCATTTCGAATTGTCAAAGCACAGCACGAAATCTGATAATTTATTCATTGCAGATTTCCAAATTTCCATTCGACCATCAACACTGCAAAGTCAAATTTTCATCCTGGGTCTACACTGAAGATGAGCTAACAATCAGTGCTCCAACGGATACTTTTGATCTAACAAGCGGAGTGGTTTGTATTATCATTATCACTTATTTATTTTTTGAAAATATATCATTTATTCATTATGCAAATAATTTTCTTCATCTATCAATAAGTTAAATTTTTTGAAAGAAAATGAAGAAAAAACGAAAAAAAATTTGTATATGCTGAAAATCCACGTATTGAAGAGCAAGCCAACATTATAGAATTTACTAAATATTATACAATTTTTAAAAATCGACTGCGTAGGCGGGTCGTCGCACGCAGAAATGGAGCGCAATTACGAATGCGTGCGTTTCTCTCAAACAAGCTTTCCCTATCACCGTCTGCAGTCTCTTTCAAGCGCGAACTTTCTAGTCAGGACGCAACGGCAACCAGTCTTTGCGTACGATAAATCGACTGCTTTTTGAAATTTTATGTTTTTTGTTTCTGTATGTATAACAATGCGTATTCTCAGTTTAAAATACTACAAACCAAGTTGGGATGGATTTTCCTGACAAATTCTAAGAAGTGACGAAAATTTTTGAAAGTCATACTGTATCATCAATCGGTTTCTTAATAACAGTTGTGAGAATGCTACTCACAAAAGCTTCCACTTCATTTTCAGCATTTTCATGTTTTACGACCATTTCCACCCTAGGGTGTGCAACAAACGCCACTTGTCAATTCTAATGAAAAACTACGTTAGAGTCACTTTCAATAAATTTTCCCTCTTTGTTTCATCTACCACCATTTCCTTTCTTCAGTACCAAGGAAACAGCGAATGGGAAGTCACATCTATCATCGTCGAAGCCGTTACCACAACCGATCAAGATAACAAAAACTTCAGGGTAGCTTATTCATTTTGTCCATTGGTAACATTTAACAAATCGTAGAGTCCAGGAACTACATTACTCCATCGAGATAAAACGCCATTCTGCTTATTATGTTTACGTTTTATTTCTGCCGACATTCATAACGGCAGCACTTTGTCTGATTGGTTTGTTCACACCGTTCAATAACGCTGGAGATCGTTGTGAAAGGGTGAGTTACTTGTGTTCAATGCCTGAGGATAAGAAGTGAAAGGAAATCCTTAAAAAATTTTAGACTACCTTGGGGCTGACCACTCTTTTATCACTAGCCGTTATTCTCAACATTATTGGTGATGGCATGCCAAAATCTTCGACTTTGCCTCAGCTTGGTAAGTGCCTGGAAAATAATCCAAACAAAGCAGTTTTAATTGACAAGTTAATGAAACTGAGAAAAGAGAACTTTTATATTGCACTGAGCAGCTTATTTTGTTGACTTTTGCGACATTGATAGAAAGCAAGAACAAGATTTTTGGTATTCACTCCACACAAATCAAGGTTCTCAAGTTTGGATGGCGCTATATAAAAATAATGTTGCAGAGACTTTTCTACGGGCTCATGGTAGGTGTACGGTATAGTCAAAACTCAGAATTTACTGTGACTTTGCATAGAGGGTTATTCGTTATACAGTAAGTAATTCTGCAAACATTTGTAAAATATAAGATTTATGCTTAAAAAGTATTTGCAATGTTAGAATGTATATGCAAAATTGGTCTTTAATAATGTTTTTAGCAGTTTTAGTAGCAATGACCAGAAGTTAAGCCTCACAGTTGGGTTAAGGGGAGGGGGGGGGGGGATCCGATACAAGTACTCTTACCATAATTCAGCTATAGGGTAGATACCATGTTCTGCTAGCTTTTTGAAAGCGTGTGCAAAGAATAAATCGAGATTCTACACTTGAAATTGCAACTCTTGTTTTTTTTTCAGCAAAATACGTCTTGGCCGAAATTCTACTCTGCTGCGCCGGCGTACTAGTAACTGTCATCCTACTGGTAGCACATCAACGTATTCTCACACGACAATTCCTACCACCAGCTCGCACATTCAAAGAGAAATGGGATGGAAGCAAGGCAAGAAACTTTTCACTATTTCTTCTTCAAAAGAAGAATATTACCTTATTTAGCCAAACAAGCTAGGAATCAGAACACTGGCATCAGCAGATCAGCGGCGAGATGAAAGGCAAACATTCGATGAGCTGGAAGAGACCTTGAAGGCAGGTTGAAAAAATTTCTTTGATAATAAAAAACTAGCTGCTTATTAGTTTGGCCTATGCTTTTACTCATTTTTATTTTTTTTGGTGCACTTCGAGTGTAATAGATAAAGATGAACATAAAAACAATAGAAAATCCACCTGTTATAAAAATGACAGGCACAAAAAATATAAATGGAGCAGAATTTTTATTTTCAACTAATCAGTTTCCAGGAAGTATGCACTGAAATCGAACGAATACGAACACGTGAAGACTTTCGCCTCCACTGGACCAAGATTTTCGACTCCATCGATCTCATATTTCTTGTCCTTTTTCAAATCATCAATTTCATTCTTAGCCTATGTTATTTATTAATACGGTAAAAAGACATTCCAAAACTTGCTTTATCTGCATTATCACACAAATAATCGAGTCTTAGACAGGTAAGAGATCAATACATCCAGGATAGATACCCTAAAAAAAAACTGGAAGGAGCTGTGAAATATGGGAATCCCACTGCAAGGCCGAGAAAGAGGAAAATACAAGTATTAATAAAAAAAAAAAGAAAAGTTAAGAACAGCATTATCACTTCGGTTTACTCTCAGCGTCACTGATATGTCTTACAGTTACTGTATTCTCTGGCATTGGGTTTGGAGCTGGCTCATATTCAAAGGCAAACGATGAGGCGATAGCCAGCTGCGATCCATCGAAGTTGAATGAAAGCGAAATTATCGATGTTTGGAACCTGTAAATATGGAATTAATAGAAAAAATAATGACGAAACGAAATTTGGGACATACCTGTGCAGCTGCACTAGCCTCTTTCGGTTGAAAGGATCCCACAAGTTCACCATGGCATCAGAGCCTAGAAAGATATTCGCTCATCGAAGGAAGAGCAAACCGTTATTTTCATTATTAAAAACTCATCCGAAAAAATTAGCATTACAGAAGTGGAAAACAAAAAAAGAGAATAGATTAACGGTCGATAATAATCAAATACCAATAATCATTTTTTTTTTCAATATTCATTTGAAATTATTGCTCAAGCTCATTTGATTGTCAGAATATTAATACTCACCACCAGTAGCGAATGTACCATTGATAGGATGGAAAGCTAGAGCATTTACAGGATAGATACGCTCGACACCATCTTCTTTGCTTCTGTAACGAAAAAACACTCAGATTCTCGCAGAACACCATATATCACATGGGAAAACAGCTTCGTGTGACATGTCAGATCACTTTTCAAGCAAAAGCAAGTAACAAGAAGAATTATGACTGTGTAGACTACCTGTGACACTTGAATGCATATTTCTTCTTTTGTTCTTCGGGTGAAGGATCCACGTATTCGATAGCAACGCGGCCCTCAATCGATGAAACCACGAATGCGTCTCCAGTTGGGAAGAAAGCGGCAGCACGAGTTTGGTACTAGAAAAAAAAGTATATAAAAGTCATCACACTAAAAAACAAAAGTTTTATAGAATACCTTGAGTGGACTGTCCCGAACTTGTTCTGCACTGCCAAGGTTGCGCATATCAAAGAGCTGTATTTTTCTGAAAAGATAATCATAACGTTATTTACCTATAGAAAGTCATGTACCCATACTACCTGTCACGAGTTCCAACGACTAGTTTCTCCCCGAGAACGTCCATTGCGTAGACGCGCTCTCCAACTTGTACGCTTTGCATAGGACCACCAGGAGTTGTAGACCGTGAGTCCCAGAGCTGTAAAGAAAAAATCAATTGGAGAAAGGTTTGGCACTTTTTGGCGATTGAAAACTTTTCGATTGAAACTATTCTGAAACTTACAAACAAGACTATTCAGTATGTTAGCGAGAGTAAGTGCACAAAAAGTGACCAACAATCAGAAGATAAGAACATAAAGGAAACAGAAAGCTCGTCACCATTACATTATGATTTTTGGGGAACAAGCGCTTCCAATTCCAATTATTTGGTACTTAGAGGCAGTGTCCGGGCAAAGAGTCGATTCTGAGATTTTGTGCTTATCCGGGCCTATTCGCCATGCTGAATCCGAAAATCCACACTGGAAAGCGCGAAAATGTCGAAAAAGGGCTTTAGCGTAGGAGTAAAATCAAAAGGGGGCGGGGTCTTCCCCACGGTGAATTCACGGTCATAGCTTCCGGAGCGATCCTCCCGCTTCCGATTTCAGATCATGCATACGCACTTGGTCTGTGGAGTTAGGACGGTTAGCGAGATTATAAAGATCGCTCCGGAAGCTGCAACCGTGAATTCACCGTGGGGAAGACCCCGCCCCCTTTTGATTTTACTCCTACGCTAGAGCCCTTTTTCGCCGTTTTCGCGCTTTCCAATGTGGATTTTCGGATTCAGCATAGCGAATAGGCCTCAGTAAGCACAAGGTCTCAAAATCGAGTTTTTGCCCGGACACTGCCTTTAAACTCTTAGATATTGCATACGCTCAAGAAGAATATGTAAACAACTCCCAAAAACAGCAAAACCTACTTTGACCGTAGAATCCCAGCTTCCGGTCACAACTGCGTTGAGTCTATCGTGATATTCCATACATCGTATCCCACCGCTGTGAGCACCCATGTTCACTTCTTTAAAACAGAATATATAAACAGTGAAGGCAACGACAAATGCAAAACCTACCTCGCCCTGTCTCAATGTCGACTAGCTTGACGATTTGATCAAGACCGCCACTAGCAACTCTATTACCGCCCTGAAAAGGTATATTTTGATACACTTACCGATAGAATACATACACAATCCATTAGTGTTGAAATAAAAATCTGTGAAAATTCAAGACTCACGGTGAAAGTGCATGCCAGAACAGGCTTCCCATGGTAATAATAGCGCTTCTCCTCAGAGTGGCCATTATTTCCAAGAAGATATAGATGAACAGTACCATCCCATCCAGAAGCTGCCAACAATCTTGATCCATATTCTTTACAGAACTAAATGATATGAAATCAAATTTAGAATTTTTCAAACCATAAAGACCTTCCTGAGCGTCTATACCACCTTTCCACTGACCTTTTTGATCTTTCGAAAAAATCAGATATTTTGGAGTTTTTGAAAATTCAAACTGGCCTAAAATTTTACGGGAGAGTGGAGCTATCGTCACGCCTCTTTTCTCAAAAATTCGAGGCTGTATGGTCGCGAAAGTTTTGTAAGGCCTCTGCCAGTATTCGCTCAAAAGCGCCCAAATTTCTCTAACCTCTCCACTTTCTCGTGTGATGATAGAGAAATTGATGAGAGATTAGAGAATTTGGGCGCTTTTGAGCAAAGTCCGGCCGGGGATTGAAGCATTCCAAAAATTTCTCGAAGGGCGTGGTGACCACACCCTTCATTTGAAAAGATTTTTGTCCGTCCGGTATCCCCCCCCCCTCACACAAATAACGAAATCACCGTTTTCTCTGAATCTCACACACTTAGCGGTATCGATCAAGGGATTGTCTGTAACAGTCAAACGTCACGTAAGCTTCAGACGTTGTGGAGTTTTACAAAATAGTTAACTAAATCAAAGGCACACCTGAACTTTTGACAGACTGACGTGAACAGGGAAAGGAATTTTGTTCTCATTCGGAGCTGCGATGATGTGCGGATAAGCGGCCATTTCTCTGGAATCCAAAAGTTGTAAAACGAGATAACAGTCGAAACGAAGTAAAACGTGACAAGAAAAAATGAGAAAGAGAGAAGGACTACAACATTTAACGACTACCATTGACCCAAGCTCTATAAGCCAGTGGCAGAAGCTCAAAGTTTCCAGACGAAACTTTACTTTTTCAAAAACCCGGAATCCCAAGAAAATAAGAAAAAGAGAAAAGATTCTAAACCAACAAAGCAAACGAAAATACCGAGTGAACATTCGCAATTCAAAATTCGGCCCGCAATTATCCGTAGCTTACGGCGCGAAATTCAAAAATCAGCAGACGTAATATTGCGGAGCAGATTTTCAAACGGCGGATTTTTCATCATAAACCTTTTCCGTGCACGTTTCTGTTTTTTGTAGCTTTTGTAGAGCTTTGTTGGAGAGCATTTGGTGTTGCGTTGATATCGATTCTATTGCAGCATAGGTTATGCAATTTTTCGCCTATTGTTTTACCATGAACGGCATATATCTTTTCCCTTTATTACTTTTGTTTCCAGCTCTTTTTTTGATATATCAGATGACTCGGCGAAGAGCTCGCAAGCCGAGTCCCATACCTGAAGAAGAAAGGCCTTCGCCATCAGTTTCTCCGGAGCTTGGATTCCAAGATGAGATTGATAGGATCATAAATGAGAACTGCAATGAGAATGAAAACTCCAACGACACAGGTTTGATTCCTTTTCAAAGTTTTTTCCTACCAACAAACTAATGCTTATGGCCGTTATTTTAGACACAATCTCTACCACTAGCTCTCGTGCTGGCTCACGCGTTGGCTCTAGAAAGAAACGTGGACCAAAGATTGTGGTGAACAAGAATGATGACGTTTTGATCGCGTTTTTAGAGTACGTTTCTCTTTTTTTATCTGTGTTCCTTATTGGTGGCTTTTATTCTTTTTTTTTCGATTTTCTTTGTTGTACTTGTAAATTTTATCGTAAAGCAACAGTCATTCTGAAAACGCTTCGATGTACTGCTCATTTTGTAGCACTTTGACTGCCCAAGCTTTGCAACTTTCCTAGTCATTGCTAAATGCCGCACAGTTGGTTAGTAACCAAAACAGCCACGAGCTCCACGCTTGCATAGCTATGATGCCAACTTGAACAGCTAGCACCCCTGGAAACGAACGGTAGTTACAATCCATTACCACACGAAAACTACGAAATAGCTATCGTCTAATCTGAGACTAAAAGAACGGGCATACATCGCGCGATTTTATCACCTCGCGATTCTCCCAGCAAGACAACTGTTACGAGTCTTTGCATGCCAATCATCTTGCTCCTCGGCTGTGACAGTTTTCCGACACAACTAATTGCGACTAACTACCACAACCGAAATGCAAGATGATCAGCTTGCAATGAACTGGTATCAGTTGTCTCGTTGGGAGAATCGCGTGGCGATGAAATCGCTTGGTCGCGCGGCTTCAAAACACTCGGAAACGCTTTGCACGTATTGTCTAAATAAGCTTGACCTTTTGATAAAATTGCTGAAGTTCTGCTATTCATGCTCTCGCTATCGAAATCGCAGCACATAAACCGTCCCAGCCCGTTTCATAGTGCTAACAATATACCGCTTTTACATAAAGATCGCTTCCTAAAAGTACTGAATTATACACAGTGATTTGCTGCGTGAGTGAGTCAAATATACAATGCAAACAATGTGGAAGAACCATTTTTTACAGAGAAAAAATCGTTGATGCTTTTCAAACTGTTTATACAACTACGTGTGGTATCGCCGGTCCGCAGTATGCCTCTGAAATGCTTCAGGACGCTTTCACAAAGGTATCTTCAGTGTTTTCTGCTACCTTTTTTATTGTTTCCTGTTTCATTTCTATCGTCATAGCATTTTAGGTTCAAGAGTTGGGCGATGACGATAAGCCTAGGATAAAAAAGATCTTTTTTGAGAAAATTGAAACAAGATTGTGTTTTATGGTAGGTTGAAAACCGTGTGAGTTTTGTTGCTTTAAACAGCAATAATTTTAGGTTGAAGCACTAACTTCACTTGATAACCGACGCAGAGTTTTTCGGTTTCTCGCTGACTTTTTCGTACATCAGTGGAGGAAAGGCATACCTGATTTCCTGGAATTCGTCATCCAGTTTTGCGAGGAGGTTATATACTTGTTTTTATCTTTGCTTTTTTATCTTATTCATCTTTCGTTTTCCAGCTGTCTATATGTGAAGACCCTATAGTGAGGCAGAACGCCTGTACCCTGACAGGTTTTGTGCTTGGTGCTGGTAGAGGACAATGTGACATCGGTACGGCTCGTGCTCTTTCCGTGGACTACAGGCGACGACTATACGAGATTCTTCTCAGTCGTCAGATAGATAAGGTTTATTCCTATTACAAGCTCTAACCTCTCATTTATTAAGTTGATAATATTCCATAGATGTTATTTTATAGTCTGGTGCAGTACGAAGGGAAGTCATTCTTTCGGTAGCAGATATTCAAGACGACGAGATCCCGAATGATTTTCCAGAAGCATTGGAAAGGAGCCCAAAAGACAGTGAGATAATTCTTTTACCTTGCTCTTTTTTTATTCAATATGTCTTTACGGCCATATTGGGTTTCTTATGCTCCAGAGTGAAGTGATATTCTTGCACTGTGCGCGTTATTTCTTGTTTCGTAGTGCAAGGATGCCTATCAGAGATTTTCAAGAAAATCAAGTTCCACCAGCTAGTAAGAATTTGTTTCAGCACCCTTATAAAATTGGAAATTTCTACGCAAAACACGATTATTTTGGAATTGTAGCGCAGATCCGCCGAAATTCCAGGTTCCATGTTTCAGTGATCCTGATGGGTTTACGAGACAGTGTAGCCGATTGTCGACTTACTGCAGCATTTGCCCTGAACGTCATTGTACCTGAACATGCTGATTACATCATCGAATTAGCTTCATTTGATCCAGCTACAAACGTGAGCGAAGCGTAAGAGCTGTTTTATTTTTCTTTGCTTTTTTAAAGCCACTTGATCAGTTGATATTTTTTGCTACATTCACCAGTTGCAAGCTTTCGCATGGATTGTTTTTCAATTTCATTTTCTTTTCTATCATCCTTTCTGTTATATCGCGCTTGCGTAAAAAAAGGCAAGCCTTTAGGTTCGCGTAGTTGCGATTCGTCAGCTGGCCACGCTACCGCTTACATTTTTCACAGAACAACAACGAATGGATCTGCTGCGTGGTGTGGTCTTCGAAGATGAGCGTGAGTAGTTCCTCCATGCGAGACGTTACATCGTTACATCTGCAAGCAGCTATACTACTTGTTGCAGCGTCTATTGTGGATGTTCTGTATAATGTGCTCATATCTGAATGGCTGAAGTTTATTCATCGAGTGCAGGAGAAGAGAAATCGGCGAAGGGTTCATTGCGTAGAGGTCGAGGGATCAGTCACATACATAAGTCAGCACTATATCTAAATTCCTTCATTTTTCTTTTTTTTTTCTTGTACAGAAAAGCGTTAGTGTTATTCATCTTTCTCTAGTTCACTGTTTCAGAGGAAGAAGTAGACGACTCAGACATAATGAATCTCTCACAAAATCTGAGAGACTTGAGAACCGACCATGGCTATGGTTCTGCTGCGCTCGGTTTACTGGTTATGCTGGACTTCTGTGACGATCCTGAGGTAGCTAATTTGTCTCGTTACTTTTTATACGATTCAAATCAGTTTGAAGTGGACAGTTTCAGGCTGAACCATTGACGCGGAGAGTTCTGTTTGTAGTTTTTGACGTCATACGAGAAAAGCTCCAGTTGGAACATAGTCAGCTAACCCATTTTATTTCATCCCTCGTCAATGATAACACGCACCCTGAAGTTTTGTCAACGCATAATTACAGGACATTGTTGAATGATAGGTACGTCGCATATTTGAGTGTTTAAGGCTTAGCTTTCTTCTTCTCATGTATATTATATTTTTGTTTATTATTCACCTGATTGGATGACGCGTCCAAATCTATCAAATGCTCTACATGCAAAAATGTTTAAATGTCACTCAAGAAAGAATCGCTGTGTGGTGATAGTTCAAAGCCCAACTTTGACCCTTTACAGCTTGTCGGGAACGGACCAGGCCCAATATGCATTCTTTTGGCGGACTCTCATCGAGTACTGCGCTGAACGTACAGATAGTGAATCCGAGCGCATGGAATGCATCTACATGCTAGCGCCGCCATTGGCTGAGATGTGTCAAATGGTGCAGAGGTTGTTTTATATTCTAGCAAAGCTAAATTTGTTACTTTTTGTTCTTAGGCTGAAGACGCGATACGAGCCATCAAGTGATATCTACTGTCTCGACGAAGGTGCAACTCAAATTTGTGACATTCAACAGGTGATCTTGACATTTTTGGTTTTGATGTAGTACGATCCCGTCTTCTATTCTTTTTTATTATTTGATTATTATACTTTGTCATTTTGTTTACCTTTAACTTGTTCACAATTTATTCATTACATTTTGCGTACCATTAACATAACTTCGCTCCATACTTACACTTCAGATTGCACTTCTGCATCTTCTTGGTATACTCAGACATTTGGATCATAAAGACGAAATAGGAATGTGAGCGCTAATTTTTACGCCCATATCATGTATTAAAGTATCAAAATTTTATATTCGCAGGAGTGAATGGAGAAGTCTACTTCTGCTAATCCTCAGAGATCAGTTTTGGTCGAAAGAGATCACTGACTGTGCGATGAATGATCTTGCTGACTTCTTTTTTGATGAGAAGCCTGAGGTATTTTATAATTTGTTCTTTTTTGTCTAGACAATCATTATAATCTCGTTTTTTTTCTAGCCATTTCTTGCAACGTTGCACGATTTCATTATCGAGGCAATCACAAATGCTCCTAGCCCATCTGAGATGAACGGAGGCGGCGAATCGCCAAATTCGCGACCAAAAAGACCACGGAGATCTTTGGATTTGCATCAGGTTCCTACACCTTCCGTTCAGTTTTCTAAACTTCAACTCTTTGTTTAGGCAGATGAACGTACAAGAAGATTTTGTATGCAAATTACGCATTCTATGCTGCGTACTGGTGTTTTCACGAAGTTCAGTCCGATCTTACAAAAACTCTACGAAGATATCGTATGTTTGGTTTTAGATCTGCGCGGTTGAAGTATGGTGTATTTCCTCTTTCTAGATCAGTCCATGTCTCTCAACGGAAAATATCCAGCTTCGTATCTGGGCTATGGAATCCGCTGCACTCCTTGGAGCTTTGGACCAACAGATTGCTGCAGAAATTCTTCCTAGCACAGCCACTGCAATAGAGTCAGATGAAGAGGCGCTCAAGGCAAGATCTTTTTTGTTGTTGCTGATTTTGAAATGGTTTCTGAGTTGTTAATGATTGAGAATATTTTTGTAGATATCAGTTATCGACGTGGTAGCGGATTTGATTGTCACCCATGGCTGCAGAGAAGTATTGAGTTGGTGCCGTAGCGCCGCTGGGGATTCTGATAATGGGCGGAGCTTTATAAATGAGCTGATTGACATTGTAATGTGTAAGGTATGTCTGTATCCTGTTTTTTCTTCTTTTTCTTTCTAAATATATCATAAGATTTTGAACATAGTGAACTTTCGACTACTGATTCAGTTAGTTAATCGCATTTCTTAACGATATCTTTTCTTTCTCTGTGTCAGATTTATCGATTCCTCGTTTTCAAGTTTTTATTATGGCTACTTTATAGAAAACTGGACCGCTCCTGTGCATCAAAGCCTGTGAATGCCTTGCCAAAATTGTGATAGTAGAAAGTCTTTCGACAGAGGATAATTATCTGGTCGAGGCACTTGCTGCGCTAATCTCGAGGTGCCTATTCTTATTTTTGCTCAATAAAGCCATAAATGCACCAATTTTAGGATGTTCCATGCTTTCACGGTCAAAATGCCTGCGGTGAAAAATTGTCTAGAATGCTTTTTTGGCATGTATCCAGCCGTCAGCAGGTTTGTCATTGGAGCTGTAAATCGCGTTTTTTGTCTGATTTCAATTTTTATTCTTTTGAAGAAAGAACCAACTGCTTCTGATAGCAACGTTCCATGAGCTTATGTCTCACATACGAAATGCTTCTGGTGACGAGTTTGTTCTGCGCATCAACATAGCAGATGCACTAAATCTTATCGTCAATTCGACTTCCAGGGTTTTACTGCGTAATTCTTCTGACAGAAAGGTAAGTCCGAAATTAGCTATGATTGCACAAGAAATCCTCTTTTCGCAGGAAGGGTCAGTGCAACCACTTTTTATGCGCGAATTGTTGAGCTACGCAAATGAGAATCCGGAAGACACTTGTTCATTGCTCTATTGGGAAACAGCGGCTGCGTTAGAGTTGAACGAGTTCTCGCTGGATCAATTGAAAGAGACGCAAAATTTCATTACGGAAAATATGGAGGTAAATAGTTCAGTTATATTGCTATTATTTGCTGATTTTTTGATGATGCTGATAACTTAGATGATGATTGCTAATGCGGGATTGAAGAGCAAGGTAGCCAGCGAAATCAAAGGGTTGCTGCGTCATGTAGAAAACGCTTTAGCGACTTACTCGTTGCGGAAAGCTGAGGTAAGTGTCTAATTTTTTTGCTCTATCAGATCGACTCCATATTTCCTCTACATTCATTTCATCCGCTTCAAATAAGCGACACGTCGTTAAATGAAAAATATATGGCGTCCGGTAAGAGCGAGATTTTGTTTCCTTCAGTTTCGACCTTGCACTATGCCACTGATAAATCATCTATCGGTGATGCCCTGTTTTGTTGTGCGGATAAGGAGAACATAATTCTGGCGTCTACTTTGACCAGTCAACTCAAATTCAACTGTAAGAGCTAACGAGTGATTTTAGGAGCTTGAAGGTGATGATCGCCTCACGGAGCTGCGTGATAAGTTTGGGCGCACCCCAGGACGAGGAAAAAGGCGTACACCAAAGACGTCGAATAGTACGCCAGTGCGATCGAGTAAACTAAGTGTGACCAAGAAGAAAAAGACTTCCACTAGCGCGAAAAAGACCACCCAGCAACTTTTGGAACGACAAGAAACACCATCTCCTCTATGTGAGTTCAGATTACTCATTATTATTATTATTATTATTATTATTATTATTATTATTATTTTATATTGTTTATTTTTATATTTATTGATATACTTCTGCACTGCGTGCATTTACAGCAGTGGCGGGTTCACTGGTAACGCCAGTAGCACGCACGCGTCCATTACTTAGCCGTTCTGCAAAGCAAGCTGCAGTCACCAAAACCAGGCGATGGTTGTTTGAGAAGAATGACAATAGTGATGATGAAAGTCAGTAGCAGATACTTCCGGTGTTTTTTTCCGGTTCCTCTACAATGATGATTTCCTCACATTTCTCAGCCTTAGTATATATTGTCCTTCATTTGAAAGCAGCGTCAAGGCAAATCTGCGTACGTTAGGATCATGAATGGGAACTGGTGAAGGGGCACCTATTGAGGCACTGCCCAAGCTCAACGCAGGAGGATTTTTTTTGGCCGAGAATTTCATCCCCAAATCTCTCAGACTCCGATCCGGTAGCGTAAGTAGCATCGTGCTTGCATGCTTTCGCTGTATTTGAACCGAGTCCGGTCAGTTTCCGCGCGAGATGCAGTCGTATGCTAAATATGGTATTGGAGCGGGGTATAATAGATTTGCAGGTGGATTTTTGGCAATGGAGAAACCAAACGCGTTGCCTTGGGCAGTGCCTTGGTTAGAACCCTTCATTAATCTCCATTTGAGAAACCACGCCTAGATTTGCTTGGACACTGTCTTCAGGATGTAATTACATCCTTACACAGCCGTTTCCAAATACCTCTTTCATGCTCATCAACCTTTATCTGTTGTGTACCGCAATCGTAATCACTTAAGCTTAAACTGTATAGATCTCTGTCGTCACTGCCATTCTAATCACCGCAATCTCGTTTTTGCATGATATTTACTCTCATTTCAATTGGGCATTGCGTGCTGTTCCTCACAATCCGTCTACGTGTAATCATAGATCTTCGTTTATGTTGGTTTGTGAAAAGTTCTTGAACATAGCCTTGTGATGCAAGTTCCCACACTCCTCTTTACCACCTCAGTCCCAATTTCAGAGTTTACAATAAACAGCGTGTGAGCTTGCTTCTTGAGCATAGCCCTTAGCTAAGGAAATCCCTCAACCTCACAAAGGAGACTCTTTCTTATGCTCATCTAATGATCAGTTCATATCTCCATTATGTATTTGTACAGAAGAGTAACAAATAAACAAATTCTGAACGCCTTTAATTCTAGCTGGATCTACTTCTTTGGACCGGCACCAGCAGGTGCACAGTCCAATTTACCTCGAATGATGTTAGCTTTGACGGAAATGAGATCGCGCCGTCGTCCACCTCGTACAAGAACCTGAAAGATGCCTTTTGATTGTTGTAGAGCAGAAAAAAGAGAAGTGTTAATGATGGCACCATTAACAGAAAAAATGTTATTTTATTTTATTACATTACTGATTATTACGTCAGTATGAATAAGCAGGTATGAATTAAGCCATGAAAAGCTGAGGAAAATGGTAGTAAAAGAGAAATTCGTTTACCTGAGAATGTTCTTGCAAATTATGTCCAACACCTGGTATGTACGCGCAAACTTCCTTGCCAGTCGATAACCGAACAATTGCACATTTACGATTTCCCGAATTTGGCTTCTTCGGATGTCTTATTACAGCTGGAGTGATTTGGTACAATTTACGGTGTTTTTGCAAATAGGAAATAAGACATACTTTTGAGGACAATTCCTTTGAAGAAGTTATAACCACTTATTGGACTTTTATCGTTGCTACGGGATCGACGCTTGGGCGGACCATTGCGATAGTGGATAAACTGAACTATGAACTCAAGATGCTTGGAGTTTTCCTCGAAGCGTAGAAAATAATAAGAATGAGCGGATACCAAGCTTTAACGTTCTTGGAAAATAGTGAACAAGAAGGGAAAAATATATTGAGGACTAACCTGCAATATGTTATTCCTCATTGCTGCGACTGAAGTATGAAACGAGAATACTGAAGTGTAGGCATAATTTGTCGTAGTTGCGAGCAATGACGGAAATCGTGGCAACGTCGGTAGTCGTGAGACAGACCTCACCAAGTTCGTTAACATCTGTAACCACATATGATTATGGAGTAGTTCGTGTCTTCGATAATAGAAAAAGCGAAGACAATATCGAAGGAAGAAAAATTGCATCTTGATTTCTTATTCTCAGAATTGAGTTCACAGATTATACTTCCTCTTAGAAAACTCCGCCCAATTCGGCGCCCTCTAAACTAACGCCCTCTGCGCACGTAGTGCCTGGCACAGACCGCAAATGTCAACCGAATTTGTCCACAGACTTCCCCCTCCTTGTCCCTCCGCCCCGTCATCTAAGCTCCACCCTTTAGTAGCAAGCCCGCCCAGTCAGTACCAACTCCCCCACCCGGCCAAAATTGCGCGGAATTGTACTGTTCAACGTCGAGAGGACGAAGCTTGCCACAAGGGGCGCATTCGCATAGCCCATTTTGTATATGTGTGCTGCATGGGACAAACAAGAAAAAAATGGCTCTTCATCAACTTCATGATGGAAATACAGTATGGATATTAGTGCTGCAACACTCCGAAAGGTTAAACTTTTGAAAAAAGTAATCATTTATGTCCTAAAAAAACAAGCATCGAATGTACAAAACATAAAAAACAATGATTGAGCAGATTAAATCAACTTGTATCGGCTTCTTGCAACTCTAAATCGGGTGACTGGTCTTGGGCTCTTTTATCGACTATGACTTTTCTTTCTTGAACGTAGAGCCGCCAAGAACACCACTTCGTCTGCGCAAGGAACATCGACGCTTCGGGAAAAGATGGGAATGAATCCAGGAATTGACCTAAATCCTATCAGAGTAGAAAGAAAAACGAATGGCTCAATATTTTTCTTACCGCCTGCCATTTTTCTTTTCAAAAATGTCATGGCATCTGCGAAAGCTTTCGCAGCAGCACTAGATCTACACACTGTCATACTAGAATAGGGATCCACGAGCAGTAAACGAACTTCTCCGGAAACCTGCCGCCTTGAAGTCATAGACTACGAAATTTGCAAAAGCAGACGAGCAATCTTACCTTCTCGAGGCTAAGCCCTTCTCGATATAAATCACATGTTGTGAGGTATCAAAATTCGAGTAATAGTCTACAAATCTAACAGCTAATTCGGCAGCGCTCATATGGTTGTTTGATTTCCACTCTAAAAGAGAGATGATTTGTCAAAAATGAAAAAGTGAACTGCAGACTCACCGATTGAGACCTGAGGCAAATCCAATAGAGACACAACATCATCAATGGGGATGTGAGCACCAACAAGGCTACTATGCGTTTTACATAAAACAGGCATTACTGGCCAAGGGGTGAGCGCCTAAAACAATCATATAAACACATTACAATACAATACATAGCTAAAACATAGTAGTAGAGGTACAGAGAGTTTACCGTATGAATTCCTTTGAAGTCTTATAAAGAAATCAAGCAAGAAAGCTGATAGCAAAAAAATATATATATGTAACAAGGAAGTGAAATTCACGATCGACTATAGTTCAAACAAAAAAGGTAACTGATATACTAATACCGTGAAGGGGGGGGGGGGAGGATCAATGTCTATGAAAAACAAAGAAGAGTCATACAGTGAGCTTAAAATCTCGTAGCTTACCTGTTCACTCTGTAGAAAATGCACTGCCAGTAATAAGATGTGGTAGGAAGATAAAAGGCCATATTTGCTATTTCTTATTTCTAAGGCATCAAACAAGGTACGAAGGTATAGAAAAAGTTGAGCTAGTCTCCGGTCACACTGGAAAAAATGTAATAAATCATTGTACTGAAGAAAGTGAGCTTCTACCTGCACATAATGCCTAATCAAGTTTGTATTCCTAATCGCTTGAAATTCTTCAGTTGGGAACTGTATATCCATGCTTTGGCCGCTTTTTAGATGCACAATCAACAAAGGGACCTGTATGTTGAGTATAAATTTATAAAGATGAAACGATCAAAAAATTACCCGTAGTTGATGGAGGACGATGCAACTCTCAACCTCTGATCCCTCCTTCTCTATTTCTCGAGTAAGCAGTCTTGACAAGGTATACATGAACTGCCTACAAAAGGATTAAAGATGGGGCGATCTGAAGAAGTGCGAGCGCAAAATCACATTTTGAAATCTCCGTTGCTGTGGAAGTCCTTAAAAAATTTCTTCCGCCGCTCAGGATTTGTTGGAAAGAATACCTCAAGCATGAATCGCACAATTACAAAACAAATAATACCACGAATATAGTCAGAAATCAATATCAATAGCAAGTGGCACAGAACGAACTCACCAGATCGACATCGGAATGATCAGAATACAGACCATTAACGGACGAACCGACTTGGACAAAGCGACAATCTCGAGAAATGATACGATCGCTTATCTTACTCATAATGCCATGTAAGACTCCCTGAAAGCAATTTGCACAATAGCGAAATGTTCAAAAATAATACTTTGACATACATTTGAAGAGTGATTTCTCGCTTTCAAGGCCTCCTTCATGCTCTTGTCCAACGCCTCAAGGTGCTTGTCATGTCGTTCCTTGACTAGATCTGCAAAAGTGGCGCTACTTCGTCCTAAAATATGAATGGTGATATTTTTGCATCTTACTTACAAGGTGACTGACTTCCTCTAGCGGCAACCGACGATGACGTCGATGGCTTGGATGTAGCAGCCAAACGCTGGACTAAGGATCTCCATACCATTCCTCCAGATACTCATTCAGTGGTCATTGGCAAAGTGCAGAAGGACCTGTAGCGGCGCACGAATCTTACAAATTGACATGAGGAAAAACATATGATATTCAGGAAAGGGAAAGAAAGTCATGTTGTACAACCTCTGAACTCCAGTGGCATTGCAAAAATGAACTATTTATTAGGAGGACGAAATTTTGTATAACAGTAGGCAAACAAACCCGAATCCTAAGGCAATGATTGCTTCAAGAATGCAAAGAATGAAGTTAAGGTATAGTCAAAATCACGAAATAGAAAAGTAAAAATATCTATATAAAAATAAAACGGTAGAATACCAACTAACTATGTACAACATATGCAAACATGACCTGTACTATCTCAGAACCGCTTATGCACAGATATATCTTCAAGTCTTGCCAATTCGAAAAATCCTCGGCACATTGCCAGCTTTTAGCTCAGATCTCAGTGCTATAAATGCTTGCTGCACAAGCGAAGGACCGTTTCGCACATTGCATCTCAATTTAGAAGACGTGTCTTCATCAAAGTATGGATCTATTAATTGTACATAACTGTCCTCAGTCGTCTCAGGCAAACTAAAAATATGAGCTCACAACATGTTCTCAAAAAAAAAAGGGGCAAAAAAATCAAAGAGCAAGATCTAAACTGAAGAAAAATCAAAATCAAAGAAATGAGCAAAAAACATAACAGAAGATGCTGCGCAAGAAGAAAAAACCGATTCTTACCGTCTGTAGATCCTCCCGCCTGTATCTATGGATACAATGTGCAAATCTAATTGACTATAATAGTCTATCATCTTTATTATGACTTCAGCAGGGGAGACGACGCATGGAATCTTGTCAGTTTCGATTATTTGTACCTTTGCATCCTAAAACATAGGATCGACTACGGGTACCAAAAAATTAGTCATTATGACAACACCTTCGCAGTAAGAACGTAGGCCACTTCCTGCCAAGGTGTACTTGGATGTAGTATTGGACACGACGCTACCATATCTGGCAAAACACTAATTGCCGGGCTCTGAAACGATTTGACCTCTCGGTAGACATAGTTGCAACCACAACAAAAAAAAAGCAAACCTGGAGGAAATGCAGAGCGAGCATGTTCAGATGATAGGTAGAAAACAGTCCATGGCGGCTATTTTTGAGCTTAACTGCGGCAAAAAATGAATTCAACCAGTGCACAACAACTGGAACGACAATGTTGAACTGCAAGTACATAGACAGTCAAGAGATAGCAAAATACTTCTTCGAACCAACCTGCACGCATGCCTTCACAAACAAGGAGGATCGAATGGGTCCAATATTGTTGAACTGAACATCTACAGTGATTCCATCGCGGGTTTTAAACTTTAGTATAGGAACCTAAACAGTAAATCAGCTGGACATGATGTTTAACCAAAATGGGAAAAAGTAGATCTGTTCTTCATAAAAAGTCGTCGAATTACAAAAAATTTGAGTGGCCCGAATGAAAAATCTAACAAAATATTATTCTGAAAAGTATAGCAAACGTAATAAAATATTTGAGTTCGTGATTCGACCAGGCCCTCCATTAATGACCTAATCCAAAACAGTGATATAGAGGCAACAGTGAAAAGAATTTGAATATATAAAGAGACAATGATCAAATGGTGGAACAAGCCCCATAGCGGTTCTTTTGATTAGTCTAAAGAGACAAAACCGTATAGCTTGCCGCGCACAAAAATCTGAAGATACTCCGATAAGAAAAACCAAGTACATTAATAAAGAAAAATCTTACCACGGAGAACAAAATTTGTTGAACTGATGTAACTTCGATCAAATTAGCTTTCCTGAGTGCTGCAGTGATGATGCCCATTTGATGCCTTAATTGCATCTTAATTACATGAGATAAAACACATTTAGAATCACTAACCTCCGGAAATGCTCGCTATGATTGAATTTTTTACAGAAATCATTTCGCTGCGCATCATTGTTGTCTGTGATAACAACCTCAAATGTATAATGAGAAATGACTACGTGACCGTATAGAAAGCTCACCAAATCTAGGTCTGAACTCTTCCCGTATAGACCATTTACACTGCTACCAATGGGTACCACGTTTCTTCTCTGGTTATCGAGGGTTGCCTTCAGCTTTGATAAGCATCGGTCTATCTAAAAAGGAAATAAAGGATCCGGAAGAAGAGGATGAAACCCCTACATTCACTCGATGTTTTCGTCCATGTTGAACGCGACGGTCTTGTGCTTCTAAAAGTGATGTATTCCACCGAAACAACTGCTTTTGATGTTTGGCTATGAAGTTGTCACTAAAGTTGTAATTGAGATTGTAGTTGAGAGGATTCTCGAGGGCCGTAGAGAAGGCTGAAATATAGTAGTGTGATGCTAGAATAAAGGGATAAATTACTTCTCACCTCTATGCAGGTTTCTGGCAGCCAGACAAAGCCGTCTCATGCAAACTTGAGTCTGGAAATCACGAGAAATTTCATAAGCTGGTGAAATAAATGAGCGGATTCTAGTACGAACCTATGATGCAGCATATATAGAGCGGTTTCCCTTCAATAAGTAAACGGTAAGAAAAGGCAAAGAAAAAACAAAACTAGCGAAGAAAAAACTGCACACATTTTCTTTTTGTGGTGTACGGTAACACAGGCCGAAGTCTGTAGCCGGCAAGATGTACGCCTATTTTGCAAATTTTGACTTCACTCTAGCAAAATTTGTTGTGGTTCAATGTTATCCTTTCTCTATCGCTTATGTGGTCAATAGAAGGAAGTAGAAACTGTCTAAGCCTTGGGTTGAAATTAGAGGTGCTATAGTGGCGCTTCCTATCCATCTTTTCGTCTATATTTAGCTCAATTGATCTTTGAGTTGTGTTTAACATTTGTAAAATCATTTTCATTTCAGGATGGTGGCGACAACGCGCCCATCGTGGATCAGCGATGTTGTTTGCCGATTATGGGGAGATAATGGCTCGCTTTTCGATCTGTCTTCGCAGCTCAGAGAACAACTCAGTACAATTAAACCTCAAGGCAACGATCTTCGCCTTCTTGCTCGTGAGTTTCCAGTCTGGGCATGAATCCCTTTGTCATCTTTTAACTACCATAATACCTTTGCGCACAATTCTGTATTAAGCTTTAGCACTAGTCACTTCAAAAAGGTGTGGCACTTCGCCTGAAGGTGAGGGTTTTATAGGTCCACTCACTTGAAAAAATCCTCCAAATTTGAAATCATATTGAAATCAGTATTTGGTTCCTTGAATTGATACTTCTCACCACTTTCAGAGGAGCTCTTCCAAGCAGCTACTATGACTTCGCATCCTGACCAGAGGATGCTCGAGTGCATCAAAATGCTAGCTCATTCCGAAGTAAGCGATGAGCACTTTATCCAACCCGTAAGCAACCTCACCTCGCTTATTTCAGCTCATATCCTGGACGGATCTTCTGAGAACAATCACAAGTTTTACACACTTCCAAAAACCGCGTTGCGTTGTAGCCTTATGTAAATTATTGGAGGCGGAGCTTCCTCATATACAGTAGGAACTTTATCTTATCTACTACCAATTTGGAATGTAATGTGGACGTCTTTAGATGCCCATTTTCGCATATAAGTGATTGCCTAGCGATGACAGAGGCCGTCATTGATGTATTTGTGTGGATTGTGGAAGGCATACTGGTATGTTTTGTCGACTGATCTTTGTTCATCCGTACTTTTCGACCTTTTCTCTGATTTTTTGCATCACTTTTTGCTTTTTGAGTATTTTTCACCGCGTATTACAGGCCTCTAAAGAACATGAAGATTTTGAAATGGTCGATGTCGAAGGCGCTCTCTTTCGCACATTTTCTGTGTTCCTCAGTGATCCCTTCGTTTTCCGTTTGATGTCGTTGGCTACGAAGAAATACGGAGGTACGGTTGATCCCTTTTGTCTGGTACTATGCATTCAACTTTTGAGGTGTAATCACAAGCTCCATTCTGAATCGACTAGAAGAACTTCAATGTCAGGAGGGTGTAACTTTGAACTATGAAGAGCTACAAAGGGCTTTTTTAAAGTGAGGCTTGTTGTTTCCACATTCCGTCGAAAGGTTTAGTTTTGCAGAATATTTGAGCCACCCAAATACGAGAATACTGAACCAACCATCAAGTACAACTTTGTGAGTTCTCTGCTCTCAAACGGAAGCACATTTTTATGTTCTAAATTTAGCGTCGTTCGGGAATACGCTCACTCACGGCAGTATTCTCATGTTTCCGAGTTCTTGCTGCAGTTGAAGAGGTGCTCACTCAAATATCATCCTTTTTTTGGTTAACTAGTTGTGGTTCCCAGGTTGCCGATACCATGCTTCTCTTTGGACAAATCAATGCCATAAGCCATCATGAGATCGTTTCTGATATGCTTCACGCTTCTTTCATGATTTTGGTAAGCGATGATATTTTCCCTCTCTGATATCTATTAGAAGGTTTTTTCTGTCAGTAAACTCCAGGTTCTCTCTTCTCTGAATCTGGGCATCTTACGTTGTAAATTGTAATAGATGTTCTGCCAAGCCCAGATTAGTACGGTGGTATCTTTATTGACCTAACGTTTCGACAAGGTCGTCTTCTTCGGAGGTCTGAAAGATGATTGCAGTCCTGACCTGTGAAACTACGCCGCCAAACGTCATCTCCGTACTTATCGAGTCTAGACCTCGTCTTATGCACAACGTACAGAGAGGCACGCTGGCAGAAGGAACCAACCGTTGATCCACCGTGATGAAGATGTTAGTAGTCCGCAGGAGCAGCGGACGATAGCCGCAGAGATGTTGCGGACGGACGACACTGAGTGTCACTCGGTGTGTCACGTCTATATATAAGGCAGCTACTGTTCACATAGTGATAGAAAAGGCAGAAGATCATTTGTCACTGACAGGCATTCATTCTTATTATTCATGCTTGGGCTCTTCAAAGAGATCCACATAGCTTCCAGTATCTTTCGTGCAGAAATTTCTGTCTCGTACGCTAAGATAAAACATTTGACCTCAAACTCAGCTCCGCCATGTGCTTCAAATTTATGCTTCCCCAACGGTGATACCAATTTCCCTCGTCTTTTGTTTGCTAAGTGCTCTCTGACCCTGATATTCAATGCTCTGCCCGTCTCACCTATATAGGACGCTCCGCAGCTTGAACACTCTAGTTGATATACGACCCCTGACTTCGCGCAATCTCCTAATTTTCCGTATGGGCAAACAATGCATTGCTCTGATACGCATTCTGTATCGTATAACCTGTTTCGCACCAACTGCTTCCTGATACTTTCGTTCGGGATGTTTACCAGTACAACCTCATTTTGCAGTTGTGCTCGAGTAATGCACTGCTTTATCGCTGCACTCATTTCATCGGAGATGAAAGGTATGCAAAGTGGGGCTCTCTTGTCGTTACGTGCAGTTTGACTACCATTAGATCGGGGACGTCTACCAATATGCGGATCTGTGTAGCCATTGTTGCGCGCAATCGTTGTAGCCAATCTAGTGGATTCAAGCCGCTCTTCTTCGCCAGTGCAAACTTCTACAGCCGTTCTGTACATGTTCTTAAGAATTGCACGTTTCGTCGTTGTAGGATGCGCTGACTTTGCATGTATTATTATGTTCTTTGAGCTTTCTTTCCTGTACCATTTCATTCGAATCGTGCCACCAGATAAGTTTATCTGGGTGTTCAGGAATGGAAGCCACCCACTGGACGGGGTTTCTCTGGTAAACCTAATGTACTGTGACTGCTGGTTTAAAAGCGCGAAACATTCGTCCATTTCGGACTGAGTCGATGTTATTACGCAGCAGTCGTCGATGTATCGACAGTACATTATGGGCAAGCGTGCAAGTACTGGCTCCTCTATCTTACTCATAAAACAAATCGCGAGGGCTGGGGCTAGTCGTTGACCCATCGCCAACCCCCTGATCTGAGAATAGTAATTCCCAGACCATCTAAAGATGTTACACTTCAAACATTCTTTAACAAGGGTCAGTATGCACGCTTTGCTCAGTCCAAAGGTGACCATATCGTTGTAGTGAAGCTCCAACATCTCTGACAATGCTTGCAGTGCGGCATCGTTCTGAACATTTGTGTACAAGGATGTTACGTCGAAAGACTCAATGACACTATCATGTTCGATGTTCGTATCCCGCAACTGCTGCATAAACTGCCGAGTATTGGATAGATGCGATGGCACCTTTGGTAATAACTGGCTTAAGATCTTATTGAGAAACCATGATATTCTGTCGGTGGGACCGTTAACACAGCTTATTATAGGGCGTACCTTATAGGCTGCTGGTGACACAGAGTGAATCTCGTGCGCTGCAATTTTATGAGTCTTAACCAGATGGTAAAATACTGGACAGATCGCATTGTCCATTTTCAACCTGCTAACTAATCTTTCATCAAGGCCTGCAGCTTTAGCCACAGAAACCCAAACTTCGTTCAACCTTTTACACTGTATCTGGAAGTCTCGTTTCGTCGCTTGTTTGTAGATTGTCGCGTCGGAAAGATGCATTTCTGCAATCTCTCGGTCTAAAGACTGCGGCATTACTACAAATTCGCCACCCTTGTCACTAACTGAGATACGGATGGATTGTTGTTTGAGCAAATCGCGCACTTCTTTGAAGCCCTGCCACTGTTCCCACGTCAAATTAGTTTGACGTTTGCGCTTGAAATTATTCAAAACTTTAAAAATCTCAGTCGAAAGTACGCGAAATTTCGTGTCAGCAGAAGGCACTGGTCTTGGTTCTCTATAAAAAGATCGAGGGAATGGTATCGATGTTAACAATGGATTGACCGTTGGGGTAAGGAGGGAGCTTTCCTGCATGGCTCTTATTCTCAACGTATCTCGCATTCTGTGTAAGCTACCCACTATTTTGCGACAAACAGAAGCTGTGATATTTTGCGAAGGCGAGAATGATGGTCCGAGACTAAGAAATTCTACAGCGTGTGGCGTAAGATGAATGTTGCCAATGACAGTAATCCTTGCACTCACGGAATCATTCGTAGCTGAACCTTCCTGCGGTCGGTGGATTGCGGGAAGGCCTTTCTGTTCGCAATGTCTCCCACGCAGTGTGCCTGAGAGTCGGTCGTACTTCGTAATAAGCCTAGATCTGACCTTAGACCGAATAGATCCACAGATCAGCTTCGATCTTCTCTCAATCCTCCTCCACAGATCTTCAGGTAAGAAACGTTTACAACACATCTCTTTAGCATTACATCTCAGCAATGAGCTATATAAAATTCGTTGTCTCTCCTTTATCACAATTTTCAGCATATTGTAGTATAAGCTTCTTATTCTTGCATCATCTTCGGAAAGACCGCATAGCGTTCCCGATTTCTTTCTTGAGATGAACGCAGGCACAAGATTATTGTTCTTACAACGTTGGAGGAAATTGAGCGATTGTCGAATTGCAACTATCCGCTGGCGAAGCGAGAGGGCTTCGCGAACGAGAGAGAAGAACTTCGGCGGTATTTCTGTCAGTAAACTCCAGGTTCTCTCTTCTCTGAATCTGGGCATCTTACGTTGTAAATTGTAATAGATGTTCTGCCAAGCCCAGATTAGTACGGTGGTATCTTTATTGACCTAACGTTTCGACAAGGTCGTCTTCTTCGGAGGTCTGAAAGATGATTGCAGTCCTGACCTGTGAAACTACGCCGCCAAACGTCATCTCCGTACTTATCGAGTCTAGACCTCGTCTTATGCACAACGTACAGAGAGGCACGCTGGCAGAAGGAACCAACCGTTGATCCACCGTGATGAAGATGTTAGTAGTCCGCAGGAGCAGCGGACGATAGCCGCAGAGATGTTGCGGACGGACGACACTGAGTGTCACTCGGTGTGTCACGTCTATATATAAGGCAGCTACTGTTCACATAGTGATAGAAAAGGCAGAAGATCATTTGTCACTGACAGGCATTCATTCTTATTATTCATGCTTGGGCTCTTCAAAGAGATCCACATAGCTTCCAGTATCTTTCGTGCAGAAATTTCTGTCTCGTACGCTAAGATAAAACATTTGACCTCAAACTCAGCTCCGCCATGTGCTTCAAATTTATGCTTCCCCAACGGTGATACCAATTTCCCTCGTCTTTTGTTTGCTAAGTGCTCTCTGACCCTGATATTCAATGCTCTGCCCGTCTCACCTATATAGGACGCTCCGCAGCTTGAACACTCTAGTTGATATACGACCCCTGACTTCGCGCAATCTCCTAATTTTCCGTATGGGCAAACAATGCATTGCTCTGATACGCATTCTGTATCGTATAACCTGTTTCGCACCAACTGCTTCCTGATACTTTCGTTCGGGATGTTTACCAGTACAACCTCATTTTGCAGTTGTGCTCGAGTAATGCACTGCTTTATCGCTGCACTCATTTCATCGGAGATGAAAGGTATGCAAAGTGGGGCTCTCTTGTCGTTACGTGCAGTTTGACTACCATTAGATCGGGGACGTCTACCAATGTGCGGATCTGTGTAGCCATTGTTGCGCGCAATCGTTGTAGCCAATCTAGTGGATTCAAGCCGCTCTTCTTCGCCAGTGCAAACTTCTACAGCCGTTCTGTACATGTTCTTAAGAATTGCACGTTTCGTCGTTGTAGGATGCGCTGACTTTGCATGTATTATTATGTTCTTTGAGCTTTCTTTCCTGTACCATTTCATTCGAATCGTGCCACCAGATAAGTTTATCTGGGTGTTCAGGAATGGAAGCCACCCACTGGACGGGGTTTCTCTGGTAAACCTAATGTACTGTGACTGCTGGTTTAAAAGCGCGAAACATTCGTCCATTTCGGACTGAGTCGATGTTATTACGCAGCAGTCGTCGATGTATCGACAGTACATTATGGGCAAGCGTGCAAGTACTGGCTCCTCTATCTTACTCATAAAACAAATCGCGAGGGCTGGGGCTAGTCGTTGACCCATCGCCAACCCCCTGATCTGAGAATAGTAATTCCCAGACCATCTAAAGATGTTACACTTCAAACATTCTTTAACAAGGGTCAGTATGCACGCTTTGCTCAGTCCAAAGGTGACCATATCGTTGTAGTGAAGCTCCAACATCTCTGACAATGCTTGCAGTGCGGCATCGTTCTGAACATTTGTGTACAAGGATGTTACGTCGAAAGACTCAATGACACTATCATGTTCGATGTTCGTATCCCGCAACTGCTGCATAAACTGCCGAGTATTGGATAGATGCGATGGCACCTTTGGTAATAACTGGCTTAAGATCTTATTGAGAAACCATGATATTCTGTCGGTGGGACCGTTAACACAGCTTATTATAGGGCGTACCTTATAGGCTGCTGGTGACACAGAGTGAATCTCGTGCGCTGCAATTTTATGAGTCTTAACCAGATGGTAAAATACTGGACAGATCGCATTGTCCATTTTCAACCTGCTAACTAATCTTTCATCAAGGCCTGCAGCTTTAGCCACAGAAACCCAAACTTCGTTCAACCTTTTACACTGTATCTGGAAGTCTCGTTTCGTCGCTTGTTTGTAGATTGTCGCGTCGGAAAGATGCATTTCTGCAATCTCTCGGTCTAAAGACTGCGGCATTACTACAAATTCGCCACCCTTGTCACTAACTGAGATACGGATGGATTGTTGTTTGAGCAAATCGCGCACTTCTTTGAAGCCCTGCCACTGTTCCCACGTCAAATTAGTTTGACGTTTGCGCTTGAAATTATTCAAAACTTTAAAAATCTCAGTCGAAAGTACGCGAAATTTCGTGTCAGCAGAAGGCACTGGTCTTGGTTCTCTATAAAAAGATCGAGGGAATGGTATCGATGTTAACAATGGATTGACCGTTGGGGTAAGGAGGGAGAAAAGAAAGAAAAATAAAAATATAAGATAAAAAATAAAATATCATATAATAATATTATTATATAAATATTATAATATAATAATATAAATAATAAAATAATAATAATATAAAATAATATAATAATAATAAAATAATATAATATAATAATATAATAAATATAATAATAATAATATAATAAATATAATAAATAAATAAATATAATATAATATAATAATATAATAATATATATAATAAAATAATAATATAATAAATAATAAATAATAATATATAATATCGAAAGATACTGGAAGCTATGTGGATCTCTTTGAAGAGCCCAAGCATGAATAATAAGAATGAATGCCTGTCAGTGACAAATGATCTTCTGCCTTTTCTATCACTATGTGAACAGTAGCTGCCTTATATATAGACGTGACACACCGAGTGACACTCAGTGTCGTCCGTCCGCAACATCTCTGCGGCTATCGTCCGCTGCTCCTGCGGACTACTAACATCTTCATCACGGTGGATCAACGGTTGGTTCCTTCTGCCAGCGTGCCTCTCTGTACGTTGTGCATAAGACGAGGTCTAGACTCGATAAGTACGGAGATGACGTTTGGCGGCGTAGTTTCACAGGTCAGGACTGCAATCATCTTTCAGACCTCCGAAGAAGACGACCTTGTCGAAACGTTAGGTCAATAAAGATACCACCGTACTAATCTGGGCTTGGCAGAACATCTATTACAATATTAGAAGGTTTTTTTTTCTGTAGCTAGAGGAACAAGAAACTCGTGACAACTGCAAATCTTCGATTGAGATGTTTTTCTATGTAAAAATGCCACGGGTTTGGGCCGCAATGATCAAGCAAGGGATGAAGCCAGAGAGTGTAGTGCGAGGCGTACAGCATATGGTGTCCGAATGTCGTCAGGTATGGTTCCATGTCACCTGCGAGAGGCTTGCTTTTATTTTTTCTTTGATACGTCTACGTCTACGTGATTGAGCATGTTTGGTAAAATTTTTGCATTAATTCATTTTAGGTCATTGATAACGTTGACTCCATAGTCAAAGACAATACGATTCGAGCTATTGTTCGTCAACTTATCTCTGAGCGTGTTATGTCAGATGCCGACGGAGACAAGCTGATCGCCCAAAGGTACTAATCGTTGTTGTCGATTTTTTAACTTGCCCGATATAGAAACGAGCAGCTGAAGATGATCCAAGGTTTGGCTTGCTTGACGAGGGACGATGTCCAACGTCAGACCCAGGTTGCTGTAGTGCTCAGTGCTGTACAGGCTCGGCACGTTATCGACAAGCTGTGGAATATGCAGGTCTGCATTCGTTTCACACTTCCTACTTTGAACTTCTACCATTTGCATTTTGTGTGCAGGAAAAACTAATGACTGTGTTGACCCGATTGATCGGAAGCGGTGGCTATGCTTTTGATGCTTTCTGTTCTTCGTATGGTTTGGAAGGAAATCTGGCGGAGATGAGCAGCAAGCTGGCAAGGTTACTGTTGGCTGTAACGATCTATTAGCGCCGCAATATGACTCAAACTTTTCTTTTCCAGCCTCAACCTTTTATCTGAATCTCCGTCGAACGTTTGCGTCGACAGAAACATGACCTTTGATCTGTCCTTTACCATGCTGACAAGAATCGTCTACAAATACAGTAGCTTGGTATAGCTTTTTCTTCTAATAAGACTCACATATGATAACGGTTCAGACGCTTGATGAGCTGGTAAGAGATCCTCGAGGCGGCCCCGACAACACTGCCTGTGCATTGTGAGTATAATTCATCAAAAGATTTCAAATGTAATAGTTGCGCTGAAAGTGAACTTTGTAGCTATCAGTGGTCTTCGAGATATGTAAAAAGAATCTCCTGTAACTTGCAAGATTCTGGAGAAGGCGACATGCCAATCATTCCTCCCGAGTTGAAAGCAGCGTATAAGGATAGAGTCCTTAGGTTGAAAGAACGTCAGTTGTTCTGGGATCCGCACACGTAAGTCTTCGAATCAGATCTACTCTCTTTTTCTTCCTCTCTACTCTTCCTATTTCATTCTTTGTCTGCAGTTGCAATTATGGCCAACTCCTGCATGAGATGCCAATTGTTGGTGAGATTATACTAGATTATTTCAAGGAACGAAAACACATTGAGGAAGATGTTGCTGTAAGTTTTTCTCACTTCTGTGTGCGTCTATTTGGCATTTTTTCCTACAAATGGTTTTTCAGCGCATTTTTGCTGCTTTCCGAAAAGCCAATTGCTTACTTGTCTGCATCATACAGTGGTTAGAGTGCCAAGTTAGTTTCTCAGGCTTTCATTTCTATGGAGTTTATGTTATTTGTTGCGATCTTGTAGGCTCCATCAGAAGCCCGTCGACAGATGGCCCGTTGCATCAAAATGGTACTGGAGGAAAGTGTTCCAGACGAGAAAGAGGAGAAGGATAGGTAGGAGCTAATATCGTTAAATTCTATGTAAAGGCCCTTTTGTATATTCCGTTGGGCTGTTATAAAGCTGGTGGTAAACTTCACCAGCTTTCTCATCTTTGTTCTCTTTTGAAATTTGTATCTGGCAATTTTTTTGAGGTTAAATTAATTGTTAGCGACGCCATGTCTTGTTTTAGGTGGCTCTTTACTAGAATGGTATGTCGTCGACAATTGGATGAAATGTGCGAATGTGACTCTGTGATTCCACCCATGACAATAACTCTTATGGCTATCGCGAAGAGATCATTTCCAACATTACATTGGCGTCAGGTTAGGCTACTTTGTAATGTTCCATTTTCCTACGTCGAACTTTGTAGGTTCCTGACAAGGAGATGTTGAAAAAGGCATGGTTGTATGCGCAGCGGCAAAATTGGGCTAGTCCAAACGTCCTGCACCTAATTGATCACTGCAACAGAGCTGGAGCTCACAAGTCTTGGTTCGAGGTAATAACAAGTAGTTCCGTTGTTTGGCAAATTTTAATGAGCTGACTTTCTAGTTCTACATGCATCATATGATGAAGTTGCGCTGTCCGGATGTGATGAACAGAGCTATAGAGACAATTTGTGCCTGTTTGTTACTAGAACCGCAAGAGACTCTAATTACTGCTTGTGTGGTCAGTCAATTTTGCGGACATTTAACTTTTTTTATTCCCAGGTTTTATTTTATGAGTTTTTCCTTATCTCTTACAATTCATCAGCTTTTCAATTCGAAATGATTCCTTGCAGTTAATGGTAGATTTTATGATGGACAAGAAGAGTCAAGTGCAGTTTGAAGTACCTTACGTGATACCGTTGGTCAAACTGCTCACTCAGGTACTTTTTTGCGAAGCTGCATGGTCTTATCCTTCACGGTTGCGTCTTCTAGGTGATGTTGATGTCTGTGTGGATTATTGACAGAGAATACAAGAAAGTCAACGCGTGGAGAAGTGGTGAACCAAAGCAGAAACGGATCAAGATGGCTAGTGACTCACAGAGTTAGTTCTCCTCTGTCTTTGTTGCCGTATATATTTTGCATTTTAGTACACCCATCGATCAAAATCTTACAAGAAACGATAGAAGTAGCTGTGAACAAATTTGTCAAGGAGTCAAGTCAAGGTAATCGCAAAGAAGGTTTACCTCTAACACCTTCAAAACCGTCTATTCAGGCTCCCTCTACCAGCCAATCAGTTCTGTGTGCCATATCGTAAGGATGATTGCTGGTGCTCCAGAGAGTGAAGCCAAGCAGTTGTTGTTGCCTTATCTAAAGCATCTCCTGGTGAGTAAAAGACGATTTTGTTGGTACATGTTAAGCAAAATTCTTTATAGTTTTTCCAACTCGCTCGCCTCGAGCCTGGCTCAATCTCATTCGAGCTATTTGCTACATTTTGCGATCCAGCCAATGAGGACCATGATCTCGAAAAGCTAAAGTTTCTTTGTCTTCTTCGGAAATCCGGCGGATTGTGAAGCCGTCTTTCAAGCACTGTGGTCCCACACTATAAAGTACACAGTGAAGTAAGAATCATGGGGCTGTCAGTGGCCAGAAAATGTAACACAAACTCAATATTGCGATATGTTCTGGTCCAGGATGGCAGTCATCGAAAAATCGGCCTTGTGAGGCAGTGTCCGGGCAGATTCGGGAGCAACTAGTCTCAACAGTTTACTGCGCGGGCTACCCTTGCAAACTATGGCTCGGTTGCGATTTCAAAATAATGCGTTTTGAGCGAGATAATCGCTCCAGAAGTCTGAACATATGCCCCCCCCCCCCCCGACCCTTACTGAAGCAGGAAAGACAGAGTCGACAGAGTCGCAGTGGCCGTGTCCCAGCAAGATTTGTTGCTGGGACACGGCCACTGCGACTCTGTCGCTGCTGCAGCGGTATGTCCCACCATTTCTGCTTCGGTAAGGACCGAGGGACACATCTTTTAGATTTCTGAACCGATTTTCTGGCATCAAAAGCATTATTCTGCTTGAAGACGCCGAATCCTTCGTCCTTTATCCTCAATGAATCATTTCATCAGGTTTTTTAATGGATTAGCTTCATTCATTGCTCTGCTTGTTGAATAAAGTATAGCGATTGAGCTTTCTTGGATGGTCTGTCCTCACGTGGTGTGAAGATCCCAGCCAGATGATACCATTTGTCCCTGTCTCTCGCTTTTGACATCCACGATCTACTTTGTGGTCGTCGGTGGCTGCGTCGTAGCTAGCTGTTTCTCAGCTGGTTTATACAGGGCCCGGCACGAGTCCGTTTCTAGGGTTTCTGAAAACGAAGTCTCCCCTGACTTTCGGAAGTTTTACGAAGTCCTCTTTAATCTACCTACTTAGAAGAAGATGAAAAGAAGAAAGATACACTAGTTGAAAGAAAAAAAATCATGAAATAAGGATGAAAAGCAAGTTGGAGCTGAATACTACTCATGCACAAGAGTTTGGCATTGAAGCGCGATGTTTAACAAAGCGATTTATGAAGAAATCAAAGGCAACAGCTCGCCAAAACCGAACATCCTGAAATTTTGACATGAAAGGTTGCTTGCACCCCAAACATGAGAACGGAGCAGGTCCGAGCGCACAGCATGCTGCCCTTGCCTAGAAAACTCCGTTACGCGCAAACTATTCTATTACGCGCGGACAAGCTTGCGATTCTCTCTGATCCGTCAGAGAGGGCATGTCGCAATGTTACAACTGCGAAGGTCCGCAACGATTCTGCTTCTCTAACCATGCCGGGACGTGCTCCGCTCGTCCAAATTCAAGAAGGGAGGCCTCGGAAAATGGTGGTTTTTGCCATTTTCGCGCTCCTCAATGTGGATTTTCCGGAATCAGCGCCTCGAATTACCCCGGGTAAGCAAAAATCTTAAAGTCGAGAATCTGCCGAGCCGCTGCCTTTGCGGCAAAAAACAAAAGAAAGGCAATGATATGAAAATGTCTTCATGCTCAGGGATAGATTTTTGACCGGGAAATCCGTCCATGATAGAAAAATCCGAAACTTAGGTGAAGTGACAGGTAGGTGCCAGAGTAAGCGAATATTTTGTTCAGGTTGGGGTCCCGCGCAGAAGTGACGTCTCTCAGCATGCTGGCGTCAATCCAAGTGACGTCCATTCTGCGCGGGACCCCAACTTGAACAAAATATTCGCTTACTCTGGCACCTACCACAAAATACCTTAATTTCACGCGTATAAGGCGCACTTTTTCGAATTTTCAAGCGAGCAGCTCAGCCGCTTCACTGTATTCCGGAAAGAAATCCTTACATCGCACATTCTCTCAAGCAACATACAGCACGTTATAGGGTCCTTTGGTTGTAAAGTCCTTTGGCTTGTCTAGGCTGGTCGATTTTGGAATAAAATCCCCCGCGCCTTATACGCGTGAAACTAGGGTATATGCTCCAGACAAGCGCCATTTAGTCGAACACAAGCTTTCCGGACAGGTTATCACACGACTGACATGTTTATCGTGTATGGCGAGAAGTGCGCGCGATTTGAAAGCAAGGCGCTTTTTGCTCCAAAAACGAAGTAGAGCCTGCTTTCAGACGATGTCTGCCGGGCCGTGGGTCCATACGTTCCGCACCTGCCAATCTGTTGGGGGGGGGGGGGGGGGGGTAATTCATTACCTATTGGTGTCGATTACGCAGGCACCGCGCGCGACAGTGCGGTAACTGGCAGCCTGCCACTTACCTACAGACCAAAAAGGCGCACAATGTTATCTATGACTTAATAATAACGGGCCAAAGGTTGTTTACGTTTGTTCGTCTGTGTGTCTCTGTGTACGTCTGCCTGTCACGAAATTCGTAGAGCAAGTTCCAGCCAACCTCCTGAGCCCATTTTTTGTACAGCGCATGCCACCAACATGAGGAGTCCACTGTACAGATGCACGAGCGGGCCTTGAGTGCATCCTTCAAATAATGCGCGTCAAATCGGATCCACTTAGCTTTTGGCCAGTAAAATTGAGCCTGTAGCACAACTTTCTGCACAGTCACTGGTATGTTTGGCAAGCTAATGCGCAAGCCATGGACTTTAGCCTAAATGAGTGAGCTAGAGTTCATTACTAAAACGGCGTCAAAAAGAATTGGTTGCGTAAATGTTCAGCTTGCCAAGTTCACCCAGTCATTTGAGGATATTTTAGCACAGAGATGTAGCCCACGGTGATAAATGTATCTCATGGTAAATACTAATACTAAACCATAAGAAGTCCCCGATTCAAATTTTCATTTGTTCTTCTGGGAAAAGTTTCATTCTCGCGAAATTGCCGATCTCATATGGAAAAGCTTTTATCATGAATAGTTGTTTACAAATCATTCGTGATAGTCCGCATAGCGCGGTGTGTTTCAATGTCATTTTTGTGTGGGAATGAGTAAGGCGTACAGAAAGTAGGACCAGTCGAGCCTCTGCGAAGCAGAGGTGACGCACTGGTTGTATCAATAACAGCTCTGTCATCATTTTGGTGATATCTCTTTTGATCTCTGTGTCTGCGTCGTCATTATAGGGATTTGCTTTTATTGTTTGTATATTTTTTTGTGACCCGTCCTGTTCCAGAATTCATGAATTAATAGAGCTGTCAGGTATGCGCTTGCGTACATCTCACATACTTGTGTTTTGTGGCATTTCTGTCGTTTTTTTGTAATTGTAGTTCACTGTTTTATAGCAGGTTGCAAGCATTGATCTGTACAGATTGTATGTAGAAAAAAGATGATTAGATGAATACCGCATTGATAGTCTTTGTATCTAAAGGTCGCTAGCAAGACTGCTTTGCTATGAGCTTATAGAGGAGGTATGACAAATTGAGGTGTTTGCAACTTTTTACCACAATTTCAAAACCAACGACATCGTAGAAGTTGTGACTGCATGATGCAGAGAAGACATCGCACAGAGGGAAATTGTGTCTTGACAAATGTCAAAGTTACATGAAGTCATGGTTTGGAGGACCTCTCTTCTCTTCATAAGTCTGGAGCTGCTTGGGCAAACGCATCTCTTCAGAGACGATAAAATGCTTCAAAATGGATTATAGACTGCCAGGACATAACATTTTGAATTACACCTCTCATTTGTTCAGAACCGTTTGAATTACACCTCTCAATTGTTCAGCTCCTCGAGTTTGTAGGTAGTATAGTCTGTTTTTTTCCTGTGATGTGTAGTGGTTAATCTCTACGCAGAAAAATATTGAGGTATTAGAATAAATTGAAGCATAAGAAGATGAGCCCCGTGGGCTGCGGATCACACCTTCATTCAATAAAAAACCGGAGCGAAGTCTACTTGAAGAAGGCTGAAGGGTCCAGGAACAGGAATGTGGGTAGACAAGGTCATGGTTTTCTACATCTATTCTTACGAAAGATTCTCAAGTGTTTGTAATCTGCAACTATCTTCACCAGTTACATGTCGGTGGAGCACGCTGTTTGGGTCTTGGAGCAAGATAGGGTGAAAGAATTTGACTGAGCTTGATACTTTGATTTTTCTCGTAGTTACGTGACTTTTAGAGTTACTTCCTTGCTGGTTATACAAGCTACTTCCGTGTGATCATTTTACGTCCAAAACCATCTTGGCATTGTCCAACTTCATTTTGAAATTTTGAGGAACTGGAGATTGGTATATATATCGCCTGCGGCTGAAAATGGAGCAGCCAAAAAGGCGACTACATTCAACGGAGGTTACAAAGTATGAAAGGTTACGGGGTGTTTGGGTAAGGGAAAAATCAGTGTTCAAACTGAAGCACATCCACACGCACAATCCAGGGAGTGCGCCGTTATGAAAGGGAGGAAGCCTTTTGAACAAATATAATAACAGAAGTATAAATGTAATATTAGGGTGTCCTAATCTCGATCACTGTCATTTCTTTCACTTGGGGTTTGCTGATTTCACGTCGTGGTGCTTTTCAATGTATGGGATTTGCTTACAACATATATATATATATATCGATGTTTATGCCAAAATTACCAAAATGATTCAAAGGCAGCGTCCAGGCAAGTCTGGACAAATGGGGATTTCACGTGGATAGTAATTTTGGGGCTCTAACTAAGCCGCTGCCCAACCGGCAGCTCAGGTAGTGCTCTAAAGGCTAAGATATTCCCCTCGAAACTGGACCCCGCGATCGTATTTCGCATGGATTTGTGGCGTAAAGCGTGGGTTCTGGAGCGAAATTGCCATGAATCCATGCGAATACGATCGCGGGGTCCAGTTTCGAGGGAATATCTCGGCCGTTAGAGCACTACCTGAGCTGCCGCTTGGGCAGTGCCTTAGTTAGGGCCCCAAAAGTATTTTTCACGTAAAATCCCCATAGGTCCAGATCTGCCTGGACGCTGCCTTTGATATGGCGATGAGTTGGTGGGTTTTACCTTTTAATTTTGCTGTATATCAATATCTGAAATTATTGTCAGCTGGTATGCGCACATCGCACAGCATTATTTCTTACTTTCTGTTGATTATGAGAAGGTGATACACTGATGTTTTCGGAGGCTTGTCACATTCTGACAGTAGCAGAAGAGAAATATTTCAGTTATTCGACGCATTTTCAAGTGTTTGAAAAGATTTTTATTACGTTAAGAGATTGAACGTAGTAAATGTGTGTCATCTGATCTGTCAGGCTCATTTTCATGACATGGAAGAAGAAGTACTCGATATTTTAGTTTAATTGTTAGTGTTGATTTGTCTTATGTTTCATTCTGATTGAAAATAAAGTCGCTTGTGATATTCATGTCCACGCCTAAATAGTGCGAATGCAACAGTCGAGTTCGTTCTCATGTGATGACCATGCGCCTATTATTCGCTTTGTAAAACGCGAACAAGTTGATCTCCAATCATGTAGAAATGTTGCGCTTGCCATTAGTCGGTGCAATACATTCATTTTATACTCAAAAAATACAATATCATGTACACATCCTCTCCAGTTGTGCCCAACATTAGCCTTGAGAGAAGCTTTAGAGGATTACAACCCGAGAAATCAACATATGTGGATTTTTTCCTGAGACATTAGCGTGCTTCACTGGGTTTCTTTTTATCAGGTTCTTATGCTGATCTCTAGTATGTTAATTTTTTTCTCGTCATCGGGAAAAATGCTTACAAGCACCGGCAATGGAGTTGAGAAGGATTCAGTGTAATAAACACTTTCATACTTCTGAAGAAGCTGCGCATAGATTCTTATCGATAATCCGTTAATTGAAACGCAGAGCAACAAGTTCGCAGACGTTCCTTAAAAAATGTAAATAATGGTTGATAGCCTGCTTTCGCCTTCTAACTTTGACCTACTCCAGGACTATCAAAGAGATAGAATCGTCAAGATAGTGTGTGTTTGTTCTGTCGGGTGATTCCTGAACCGTCAGAGACTAGAGCTTTGCGTACGCCAGAAACCAATTTGTGCACATTCTTATGCGAGATTCTGTGATGTGAAAACGGGAACAAAGTGGGCTGGTAACAACTACGTATTTTATATTTTTGTCAGGAAGAAACAATTGATTTTCGTTAATGTGACGGAACCACACAGAAATTCGCATGATTCTATCGACCAGCTGAAGCATAATAGTTGCGGGTTTCTGTAATGATCCGCTGAGATTGAATTAAGATGAAGATGAGATAAAAAAATCGTAGTAGCAACTAGTACTGTATCATATATGCGTATCCTGATTAAGCATGTGAGAGTAGATCATTTAATTCCCTTTTCTTGAAGAGAAAACATGTTTTCACTCCATACCACTAATGCAATACATGATTTATAACGAAGTGTTTACTATAAATTTTCAAGTACTATAATAAATTTGTTTTTTCGTTATGTGTTATAAGTGGTCTAGTTGGTGTTTTTTCGTATACTATGCATGCTGTCCTTGCCTGTACTGCTCAAATATTGTCTTCATGACCATATGCATCATCTCTGTAATAATGGAAGGTTTTCGAAAAAATAAGGCTTTTTTGCACTTTTGCTAGACATGTCCTTGCAAACCTTCCAATCTTACCTTGTAATTACTATCAAATTACGGAAACTGGTAGTTTTATGGCAAACACTTTCGACAGCGCATTACAACTAACATCAGTCAAGTTTTTAGAGCAATAAAAAATAAGTGATTATAACAAGAGCGAGATGGAAATTGTTATTCTACCAGATATTGCCCGTAAGAAACCGGTCCGATTTGAAAGTATCGCATCTTCTAACAATAATTTTCTCGCTGAAAGTGCTGAAAACTTGTAGCCAGTGTAACTTTCGTCATATCTCGTGTGAAAGTAGCCAAACTTCCAAGAACTGTCTGCAGATTTGCAATTTCCATTTGGGAAAATACTTGGTACAGATCAAAGAGATACCTATATAGGGGCGAGTCCCACTTTGGGCTCCTCTTTACTGTCTCCTTCTTTGGTCAGCAAGAAGGCTTGATTTAGGAATGAAGTGATGCTGATCATCTAAGTGTCCTTGAATTCACTCTTTATATGTAGCTGACTTTGATTGCTTTGCTGCGCAGATATTAGCGCACTGAAGCTTAACGTACCGCTGTGGACAACCTGTCCACATGATTTATCTTTGTGCTGTCCAGCTTATCATTTTGTTCAAAATCATTTTTATACTTGGCTCATCTTATCGTGCCCGTAACTGTCCAAAGAATAAAACATGCAAAGCTCCCATTACCTTTCACAAGAAAAGATATGATTTTCCACTTTTGCCAAAATTGTGTCCGGCTCAAACGCTGGGTCAAACTTTGCGCAACTGAAATCTATACAAACAAAAGTCTAAGACGTAACTTTTTAGAAGCTTTACTTATCAGGAAAAATTCAATAGGTGCTCAAACGATAAAGAAGAGAGAAGAGAGACTTTTTGGAAGAAGCCGTTGTTGTATATCGAAAGTGTCTTGATTCCTATATTACTTGCATGACAAATTTCCAGCTTGCATCGTATGAAGTATAATACCAAATAAAAAATCAAAATCCATCTTATATTTAAACTGCATGAAATAAAAATACATAGACGTAGTTTTAATTCTAAATAAAAAGCCTTTCTTTACGTATAATCTAGATAATGAGTTAGTTTGATACATGCAGCTTTGATATTAATATAAGCAAGTTCTAGTCAAATTTTTTAGAAGTCATTCTTACGTCAAGTTATTTATTCTTCTTTTTTAGCCACAAAATCCGTAAGAATTTGTTCTCGTTTCCTTCACTTATGGAAACAGCATCATATTCAGCTGTTCATTCAAGCAAATACTTTTTGTGGAAGCTTATAAACTTTTCATTTGGATTGCAAATGGATACACATGAATGTAGAAGCTACATATGTAGCTTCGAATCATCCGCTTCTCAAAGAATCGGTTTTTCGCGTTATGTCGGCTTCATTGTCTGTTTGACGACTTAACCGTTGCAGTTTTGGACTCTTATCTGATCGAGGAAAACGAACGATGCGGCTATTTTCGTTCTCGCCGCTATTTGTGCCTATATTAGCTACATTTTTCCATCAGGTAAATAGTAGTGCTGTACTCACTATAACTCATAAACTCATATGCATGCTTTGGTTTTTGTTATTTGTTATTTTTCGTTCCAAATTACGTTGAATTTTGTTTGTGGAGTAGTTGCATGAATATGTAGTAGAATGTAGATCTCGTACCGACCTAAGCAGGTAAAAATAAGTTTCGACTTGATTTTCTTCAGGAGCAATTTAACATCGCTAGCCACCGGAAAATATGAAGCTATAAAATGCTTTATCAATGTCTTCGTTGACACAGGCTTTCACACAAATTTAACCAACCTTTCATTGGACTTGCTAATCATTGCAGATATCGCATGAGACGTCAGGAATGACATGAGAGAAGCTGCTTAGGATTTCTTTTAAAGCAGCGTGATCTATCAATGAGTCCTTTAAATTCTGATTATGCAGGAGATTCTTTTGCTTGATTTAATCTAGTCTAAATTGCGAAGCAAAAAGAAGCTCATTGCATTTGGAGATACAATTTCAAACAAATCAACATGAGTCCGTTTTGCTCCCTTCCTTGTTAAGTTATCCTTTTCCCGAGTTTTCTTCAGAGGAAGAAACCCGATCAAATAATTGGGCTTTGTTTGGAGAAATTAATCCTGGAAAAAGAGTAGAAAACGTCCAGGAGGTTTTTATACCGTAACATGGACGCATAATTTAGTGGCGCGAGGAGTTTCAATTGCAGACTCTAAAATGCAAAAAAGAATTAAATATTCAGTCAGTATAGTCTGATGGCACGCTTACGATCTTGGGAGAAAAAGAGCGAAAAAAACCTTAGATGACTGGTCTTAAATTACTGAACTGATGAGCCTACCATATCCTGCTCCCCAGGATAGTGTAGGTTGAATAACTTCTACAAATTATCTAAAAATTTTCAAACAAGATAACTAGTGTGATGCCAAACCTTGGTTATTGCTAATGTGTGCCTGCTTCAGCCATGTATGTACGTAGGAAACGTAGCATATAATGGATGTCAATCTGTAGCTCCTAGAGTAGTGAGTTCTCCTTAGTTAACTGACAACAACTGTTTCCTCACAAAGCTCCAGATTTTTTCAGTTTTATGCTCAGCAAGCACCGACTCACAGTGTACCTGCACCGGCTTACTTCGCAAATCATGGAACACAGCAGAGACAGCAATTGGTTGCTGTGCCAATCACTGCTGTTGCCGTACCCTTGAATGTCTACAATGCCAGATCACAGCAGCCCATCTACAGGCAACCTGCCCAAATTTACCCAAAGCCTGCACTGCAGCAGCGGTACGTGTCGACTCTACCACCACCTCCTTCTTACCCACCAGCACCTCCTCCTTACTCACAACCACCTGCTTACCAACAACCAACGTACGCAACAACTCAGGCTTACGTGCAGACAACACCGGCACCAAGGTGTTGGAGAAACGCTGAAGGTATTTTATGATGGAAACTTCATAGAAAATGTTCTCATCATCAAATGTTCAAACATTCAAGGCTTTCCATGCTGCAGCAGGGACCTGGAATCATTTATGATGCGAACATTGCACGATGAAAACAACCTGAAGAGATGGAGAGGATGCAATTTGCAGAAAGCCGCTAATGAGCTCCAGGTATTTTTTCAAAGAATGTTTCTTGAAAAAAAAAATAGAGTTTTAGTGGAAAACGGTTCCCATTTACTTTTGAAGCTCTCTAGAGTCCATCTCAAAATGTTTTGATGTCTTGTTTTGTCCAGCGCGTCCTTATGTTTAACTTAAGCCCCGAGAATGACTATAATTTGCAAGGCGTTGAGTTTAATCAGTGTATTACGGTGTCGAAGGTGGTTTTCAAGTAGCAGAAATTCATTCTTTCGATATGTTAAGCAAGATGCTTCTTGCTCCCGTTTGGTCTCTCCCATCAGTACAGTCAAAAGCAGCTTGATTCCATGAGCTACGTTGTATTATTATGTTTGACTGCAATAGCTTTTACTGTGTACCAAATTTGAAAAATTCAGCAGCAAGATCACTTGTGCTGATAAAATGTATGTGTTCCAGAAAATGGCTCAATCCAAATTTAAGTACTCCTTTGAGTCAATTGTTACGCAGTCCGATATGGCCAGCAAAAGTCGTTTTATGAACAATCTGATGTGCAAAATGAGGACTAGGGATGGAAAGGTATAAAGAATTTTCAAAGTTTTCTCTCCTTGAGCTCTGTACTGTAAGCACTGGTATCAGGTGACACTAAAGCCCTTCAAAGCTGTAGACAGGTTAAATATGTGAAGAAGAATAGAGCACCTTAGCACCGCATAATGAAGTCTTGCAACTTTTGTTGCCTGACAGGAGGCGCGCTTTCTCTGCTACGATTTTCGATATGACTGACGGATCATAAGTCATATTTACAGATAGCTATGCTTTATGCCACTCCGATTCAGTATTCTTTGGAAAGTTCCGATTCTCATCCACTCAGCGAACAAGAAATGCGACGAAAATGGACGTCACAGCAAATGGAGATTACTAGCACCGACGATATCTAAGCAGTGCAACAACAACTGATAATGAGCTTCTTAGACGGGCACTTTTACTGTATATTATAATTGTGAATTTTTTGAACTTGATCTGATATTGTATACAGTCGAGTAGATTTCCTGCTTAATATAGTGTCCCTGCAGACGCGACAACGCTGGGGCGTCAATAATTGCCTGGCAGTTCCCGAGCTAGTGTTTTCCAGGTTTTTCCTTGCTTATTTCATGCTTTTTAGGTGATTCGTTGCTGATAAAGAAGAAAAGGGTAAGTTAGAGAGTAGTTTCTGTTTTCTGAGAAGTTCTATCATCGCATATTCAAAGATATCCACGTGGAAGCAGTTCGCGTCAGCTTCTTGTCTATTTGTTTTTGTTACTTCATGTCTCTTTCTTCTTGTGAGGTACTTCTTTGAACGCTAGTAGGTTTTTACGATTGACTTATTGTCTTTATCACATAAAATATTGATTAAAATGCTATTTCTTATGGATGAAAGGAGAAGTTGCTGCAAGACAAGCCAACTAGCGTTCAAAGAAACGCTTCACAAGAAGGAGGAGGTTTGAAAGAAGAAGTGACAGAAGAGAAAGAAATGACAAAAAAAATAGATAAGAAGCTGACGCGAAATGCTTCCACGTGGATATCTGTGAATATGCGATGATAGAACTTCTCAGAAAACAGAAACTACTCTCTAAGTTACCCTTTTCCTCTTTATCAGCAACGAATCAACAAAAAAATCATGAAATAAGCAAAGAAAAACCTGGAAAACCCTAGCTCGGGAACTCGTCAGGCAATTATTGACGCCCCAGCGTTGTCGCGTCTGCAGGGACATTATATTAAGCAGGAAATCTACTCGACTGTACTTTGAAGTTCCAGTGAAAAAGTTGAGATTGTATTAAATTGTGGTTTCAATCAAAGAGAAAGTATTAGAAAAGCTAAAAACTTTGGTCTACGGTTTGTAGAAGCGCTAACAGTTTCATAGTAGTTGGCATCAGCGAAAAGAATAAATGAAAGAGATTCAGTCGTCGACTCACTTTATGCAGATTTTTTTTTGTTTATGAAATTCTGCAGGGAAATGGAATAGTCTATCAGAATTTGATCTTTACATGTTTATACAAAGGGTTTTCAGAGGCTCAACCTACTATACTAGCTTCACTTAAGGTCACTCCCCCAAGTAGGAATTCTTCGTTAAGAAGGAGGTGAAGGACTGGGATTCTAGGCCGGAGCTTTCGCCGAGCAAAAATGTGCTGGGGTTCAGTGGATTTTTGTTTTACCGTGCTTCTGTTAAACGCGGATGGATTAATTTCTTTATTTCCGAGCCGGTACGATGGGGTGACCGACAAGACCTACGGATAGGTGGGGGCGATTAGATTACTACCGGCAATGATTTCTAGACATTGATTTTCTCACACAAGTTAGAGGAGTTTCGCATCTTCAACTGTGAATATGAACAATCAAGTTTCATTTCTTTCTTATCTGCTTAAGATTAAGTTTAATTTCATTCGAATCCTAGTTCCTGAAATTTTGAACTGTTCCGAACTTTTGTTTAGCCGTGCATAAGTTTACACTGATTTTATTTTCATAATGATTTCGCTAAATGGCTTCCAAGCTAAAAATTGTTCCATTGCAACAGGTCCATGCAGCATCATTTCTAGAGCCGTTTATCACCCGCAATGATAAAGGAATGTTTCATCCGCGTACCAGGGCTCATACACTCGCGTATTTGCGATATAACCCGTTCCAAAAGCGAACGACTCATCCGCTGAAATGAATTAGCCAACCACCGACTGGTAGTCTCGTTGTTCCCTCTTTCACAGTTTTTGCAACATTGTCAATCAAGAGAAAGTAGACGTGGAGACGGGACATTGGAACAACGGTCACAATAATCAGATGCATTCTCCGCCTTTGACGAGCGCACCTCCGGTTTACTGACACATTTTGGAGTTTAAATTCTGCCTGTTGCTCTCCTAGAAGTTTTTTAGAGCTATTACAGTTTTACCCTATCTTCAAATGTACAAACCACAGGAAGTTTTTTTCTTCTTGAGGCGGCCAACCCCAACACGCGAAAGGACTTGGCGATCAAAGAACCCTGTTCCATGCTGGTATCGCCTGAGAGAATCATGCGGCATAAGGATCGCTTTCCAGAAACAGTGAAGCGGTTGAACATCTCGCTAGAAAATTGAAGTGCGGGGCTTATGACCTGAAAATAGAGTAATGAGCATGTGGCACTCAACCGCGGACAACCATTTGCCGCTATCACCTATCATTCCCTCTCAATTTGATGCTTCATTGCAGGATTTTTGTAGGTTTGATTATTAGCTTTAGTACCTGAGGCAAACTCCAGAATGTGCTTATATTTTTCAACACATATTTCACACTCTAACTATCATTTTTCTTCGGCATCGCTCTTTTTGCATATCTCCGTGTCTGCTTTTAACGGACTATCTCATGGTTTGGAAGTAAAATTGATGTGACCGTTGAGCTGCTTTCAAAGCCCATTTTCTTACATTTAACTTGCGGTGCTTGTTCTAATGACCTGTAGGATTTTTTTCATTGTTTACTCTTACCCAAGAGACGATAGCTCATGGGTTTGACTTCAGCAACGTTATTCCATAATACCTAAACGCAATATCGTTCGCTGATGCTCGACTGCACTTTGTCTTGTAAGACGACGAAGCTCACAGCCGCACCGCATCATACCATCCATAGCCTCTTTCGCTCACACAATGCATAGAACAAGAGTAGATGATAACAACAGAATTTGATAGCTTTCAGATATCCTGAATCCTACTCTTTCCTACTAGTATTGAAGAGATTTAAAGTATCTCGAATAGGTGTGGAAGGAAAAGAAGCCATGAACTTTGCTATACTTCAAGCTTGATTTAAGGGAGCGCATGCTCATTTTGGTAGAAAGATTATCCACTCCCTTCAGCTCCTGGGGTTTTTTTCTTATGTATCCTGGTGGTTTGACGTTCAAAGTAGATAGTGGCCCTGCGGTGAGAGATCATTTGCTCGGAATGAAAATGCGCCTTTTCGCTTCCGCATAGCATCAAAAGATATGTTGACTCAATTAAATCGTTTCTATTTGGTTGAAAGAAAAAAAATGTTTGTTTTCCAGGGTTTTCCAGCCAAAGTTTATATTCTCAAGATTTAGACACATCCAAGCCCAAAATTTATGGCCACATTTCCGAAGGTTTGCGGTATACAACGGATAGGAGACTGAGACTACTACTGATGAAGAAGTGTGCTAAGCATGAAAAAAATTATAGCAAACGTACTTATGGATAAGTGCACTTGTCGTTGCAGAAACAAATGGGAGATTCGCAGAATTTTGGGAGGGGGGGGGGATAATTTCGGACATCGTGAGTTCTTGCCATGTTTTGGCTCCATACTTTGCGTAAATGACGATTTCTGCTAATGTTCAAAGGTCATCACGCAAAGCTTCCTTTGCTCTACCCAAGGGTACTTCTTCAAACATATTGTTGGATTCGTCTTCTTGCTTTGTTATGGACATGACATTCTTTTCTTTCCAAACTAATATTTTCGGTAATTTCTGCCTTTTCTTCAAAGTCTTTGATATCTCCCAGCAACCGGAGTGAGATTAGACAGGTATAGACCTATATGAACTTCACTTGAAACATGCTTTATATCTGCATCATCTTCGCGCTGACGAGCAAATGAAAATGAGCTTCACCGCCGCCACTGCTTACGTGAATATGGACAAATGCACTTACAAGGGAAGGATACTTGCTCAAAGTGGGGTTTCAATGTAAAATGTATCTTATAGGGCATGAAACGCTGATTCCAAATCTGCTTTCAGCATTCGCAAAGCTTTTCTGGGAGGGGAGTTATGGGAATTGAAGCAAAAGTTCAAGGGTTTAGGTAAGCTGAAAACAAGTGTTGAGGTCCTCCCGGCGCTTGAAAGGAGTAATGAATAGCACAAGTTTATCACACCAGTGTTTTAATTATATGAAGCGCCCTGGCAGTGATCATGGCCCCATTTGAACTCACAAGCTACAGTTCTGAATGATTTTAATATATTTGCGCGTTGAAAATTTTGCTTCAAAAAAATTTCCATAGCTCTCCTCCCAGAGCTTTGCAAATACCGAAAGCAGATTTGGAATCAGCGTTTGATCTTATATATAAAGCTGAATGTCTGTTTGTCTGTCTGTCTGTCTGTCTGTCTGTATGTATGTCTGTCTGTGTGTACGTATGTTCCGAATAGAAAATTCCATTTCTGAACCGATCCGGACCAAACTTGGCACACATACACTACGGGCCCCGGCGGGTGTCATAGGCTACTTTTCGTCATCGATCGATATCGATTTTATCGATTTTTATCGATTTTTTTGCTGAGTTCACCTACGGGGCTGGGAGTTGGCACAGGGGGGTAATCGAGCATGGGGATTCCGAATACAATATTGGTTTTCAGGATTATCGATTACTTTTATCGATTTTATCGATTTTTTTGCAAAGTTTGAGCTACGGGGCTGGGAGTTGGCACAGGGGGGTAATCGAGCATGGGGATTCCGAATACAATATTGGTTTTCAGGATTATCGATTACTTTTATCGATTTTATCGATTTTTTTGCAAAGTTTGAGCTACGGGGCTGGGAGTTGGCACAGGGGGGTAATCGAGCATGCTGATCATCCCCAAGGGGGGTGATCAGCATGCTCGAACACCCCTGTGCCAAATTCCAGCCCCCTAGCTCAAATTTTCAAAAAATCGATAAAATCGATAAAAGTAATGGACGATCTTGAAAACTAATATTGTATTCGTAATCTGCATGCTCGATTACCCTCTGTGCAAACTCCCAGCCCCGCAGGTCAAACTTTGCAAAAAAATCGATAAATCGATAAAAGTAATGGACGATCCTGAAAACTAATATTGTATTCGGAATCCCCATGCTCACTTCCCCCCTGTGCCAACTCCTAGCCCTGTAGGTGAACTCTGCCAAAAAATCGATAAAATCAATAAAAGCAATCGATAATTCTGAAAACTAATATTGTATTCGGAATC